CCCAAACTGGCCTCAGACATCGCAATTTTTTGTGGTAGGCTTTCCTAACGCAACTAACAACCGTTTTCGAAGTTATCACAGTCGCAAAAAAATTTTGCGCAAGGGGGACTCGAACCCTCGACCATAAGTGTACAGAAAGTAGGGACCAAAAAGACAAAAAGTCTCTTAGTCGTTCCTATTTTTTTATTACTATAAATTTTATTCCAGCAGTGTTTTCAGCTTGCTCCACTAATAAATTGCAAGTGAAAAGTAATGCCGTTGAAAACACAACACTTGTTTTTAGTTTATTCTGGCCCTGATGAAAATCGTATTCACAAAAAATTTTCTTTTTTTTTAATTTGTAGGATTAGAAACACGTTCTGAGTTATTATAATTTAATGGTTAATATGTTTACAGAAAACATTTCCAAAAAACAAAACTTTATCTCTTACTTCACTTGTTTCAAAATTGTTCAAATTAAAAAAAAATGATTATAGCATTCCGGAATTTTAGGAAATGTTACTAAAATCGGTCAAAAATTGTTATAGAAGGATACAGAATTCAAAGAAAATGCTGTACTCAAAATTGAACAGTTTAAGCATATTTTTCGAAATTCCAGATCACCAGAGTTGTGCGGAATTCCAAATTTCAAACAATATCATTCTGAGTCTTCAAATTATTCACCAACGCACATTCTGAAGATGTGCATCAAATTTGGTGGCGGCAGAATTGGACGAAAATCCACACTCCGAAAAAAATCCACATTCCCTCGTTTTCAAATTAATCAATCCGCCCAACCTTGCAGATCACTAGAAGACCCTCCTATAAAACTTTTGACAGGTTTAAGTAACTTTTTCACAAACATCACTGATATCATTTTCTGAAATTTTCAAAAATTTCGAATTCGGACCCCCAAAGGACCCCCGCTATATCACTTTTGAAAAGTTTTAGTAACACTTCCTGAAATACCAGACCACTAGGGTCATTTTCTGAAATTTTCAAAAATTTCGAATTCGGACCCCCATAGGACCCCCCTATGCACTTTCGGTCTAAAATTTTGCTGTGGGCCTTTTTGACACAATTAACAACCATTTCCTAAGTTTTCACAGTCGCAAAACAATTTTGCGCAAGGTGGACTCGAACCCACGACCCCAAGCGTACAGAAAGTAGGGACCAAAAAGACAAAAGGTCCCTCAGTCATCCCCCGTAGGTTATAGTTTCTAATCATCTTCATATGTACATGTTGGTGTGCCACGTTACCACCTCTTGGCCCTAGGACTCATCCATCATTGGGACGTGCCGGTGTAGATGTCCACAATCCACGATCAATGATCGCACATTTTAACCACTACACCACACCGGCACATTTCGCCAAGGCTGAAATCGCATATAAGAATTCAAGAATTTTCAGAGTGGTGATGAGCTATGTTAGAGTTCTAACTTTTTCGTTTCTGAATCAAATTCGATGATCCAAAAAAAGTGAATGTTCAGAATTTGATGTTTTACAACGTGGAATCAACCAATTTGCTTGAAATGTGATGAAAAGGTAGATGCGACGAGAACTTCCCAATAATGCTTATCATCAATGTGTCTTTCAGGAAATATGCGTCAAATTTTAAAACTGTTCAGTAATGTTCCTTCAAAACTCAAAAAATGATATTATCAAGATCGCGTTTGAACATTTTGCCGTTAAAAGAAAAAAATTGCTTTTTATTTAATTTATTAAGTAAGGGTAAATATTTCCACAGAAACCGTTTTCGAGAAACAAATCCAAGTTCGAACAAAATGTTTCATCGGACATTTCAACAAACTCGAAGTGAAACGAAAAATTGAGCTATTTTTCAATACAGGGTGGCCCAAAATTATGGAAACACAAGTTTGAAGCCTTCTGGCAGAAGCTGGCGCATTTTTCGTGCCCCAATTTTATTTTTTTCTTTTTCAGCATGTTTTAATTACCCTATTCCCAAATTTTCTAGTTCCTAGCTTCATGTTTACTGAAATGGTAGCCAATTCAATACACCGAGGTACGGTTATCGAATGGCGACGTGAGGGAAGAGCGACAGTTGCATTGCAAAAGCTCTCGGAATCTCTCGATCAACAGTTAGTAAAACCGTAAAACGATACAAGGAGCTTAACACACTTGAAAACAGTCCGAGAAGCGGAAGACCTCGCAGTTATATCACTCCGGAGAGGATCAAGGTCGCCAGAGAACGAATTCGTCGAAATCCGCACCGGAGCATGAGAAAGATGAGCTTGGAGCTCGGTATGAGCAAATCTTCGATGGAGCGCATAGTGAATAAGAAGCTTGGACTGACCCCGTATCGTGTTCGGAAAACGGCCGTTTTATCTAAAAAGAACAAGCTGGGCCGAATGCAAAAGTGCGAATCTCGTCTTGCTGGCACGCGCCAAAATGAACATTTGAAAACGCTGTTTACGGACGAGAAGCTCTTCACCGTGGAGGCTGAAGTCAACTCGCAAAATCATCGGGTGCTTACAGGGGACGAAGCCAATAAGCATGGAAGAACGATCAACAGAATGTCTCATCCTCAACAAGTCATGATTTTTGGGGCGATCACGTCTGATGGGAAGATTTTGCTTGTTCTTGTGGATCCCGGAGTCAAAATCAACCGGGAATACTACTTAGAAGAAATTCACAGAAACACGTGCTTCCATGGACCCAGACACACTTTGGAAACCAGGTTTGGACATTCCGACAGGGCTCTGCACCGGCTCACAAAGCAAAAGTCGTCAAATCCCAGTGTGCCGCCAATTTTGCAGGGTTATTTCTTGTTCAGAATGACCAGCGTCGTCGCCGGATTTGAGCCTACTCGGTTATTATGTTCAAGGTGTATTTTAATCGAAGGTCCAGGCACATCCCCCATACCAATTTAGAGTCATTGAAGAAATGTTTGGTTGAGGAATGGGCCAAACTATCTCCAGAATACCTCCGTGCCACAGTCGAGGCATTCCCGACGAAACTCAAGGAAGTAATGAAGAACAAAGGAAATCGAATCGAGTAATGTTGATGTATTTTTGTTTATAATTGATTCAATAAACTATTTGTGATTTTTCAAGTTGATTCGTCCATTTTTACAAAAATTACATTACTTTGAATGTGTTTCCATAATTTTGGGCCACCCTGTAATTCTCAGAGCTACCAGAAGCATTGCAACATTTTCTACAGACAGGTCGTCATATTTCATTTAGAGGATTTCTTCCCTACACGGAATGATTTTCACTAAATAATTATTTTTCATACATATAAATTCTTATTTTGCTTATTTTTTTGGTTTTTAAAAATACATGATCAAAATGACCCCTTTTTGTAACATTTTCATAAACTTCCAGACCAGTAAATTCATTATCTGAAATTTAAAAAAATTTAATTCGAACCCCTAGGATTAATTATAACACGTTTGACAAGTTTTTGTAACAAGTTTGAAAATATTGAACAATTAGGATCATTTTTTCTGAAAATTTCAATTTTTCGTAATCGGACCCCCTATAACACTTTTGACACGTTTTAGTAACATTTTCTGAAATTAGGACCCCCTGTGCACATTCGGCCAAAAATTTTGCTGTGGGCCTCCCTGACAGGATCTTCTCTAGACGCGCGAACAATGTTACGATGCATGTTTCTCGAGGTAGAAACCGGTTTTTCGGGGTGGGCACCTATCAAAATTTTTTTCCTGAAGTGTTAAGATATTAAGAAATGTTTGTAAACCATTACATTTGAGAAACTGCGTTTCAGTGCTTTATAAACAGAAGATATTGAGCACTGAAATTGTTGCCAGAAGGTTTGACCATGTTTTTGAGCAATTTTCAATATATTATGCCCAGCTAGAGGCGTCTTATACATTACAATAATCATTAAGAAAAAACTGAAAATTCAAAAAAACCAAAACTCGAGAAAAAATTTTCAACTTAAGAAAAATTTTAAAAAGATACAAATTGTCGAAAGACTGCTCTGCGTATTCAGTTAAAATTTCAGGTCAATCGGCCAACTTTTAAAAAAGTTATGGCTGAAAATGTGGTTTTGGACAGAATTATGGCCAGCACTGTAGCTCTATCGAGTTGAGTGTTTGAATCTGATAGAAGCCGCGGGACCTGCTGGACAGCCGGGACCCGACGGGCGGCCGGGACAGCCGGGCGTGCCAGGACAGCCGGGATCCGATGCCGAATATTGCCCGTGCCCGACGCGATCAGTCGCCGTTCAGCGACGATCGTCGGCTCGTCGAGCCGCCAACGCCGTCGTCTAGACACTATCATTTATTATTTGTCAATAAGGTACATAAACTGAATTTCAATAATGCGTATAAAATGATTTGAGGGAACAAGAATTCGCCTAAGCCTCGATTGTGTGTGTAAATCTATGATTTCTTACACCGCGCGGACGGAAAATGGTGTCCGCCTGGTGTCTGCGTGGCGTCTAGATTTTTCGTCCGCGCGGTCACCGAAATATGTCCGCGCGGTTTCCAATAAGTTCTACCGAGCAGAACCCAGAGGTCGGTGGATCGGAACCACTCGCAGCTAATCGAAAATTTTTTGTTAACTTTAAAAATTGTATGCAGCAAAAATAAGAAGTATCTTCAGTTATTCTAAATAGTAAAATGGTTTTATAGATTATTAAAAGTGTGGATAATTTTTTACAACTGATATTTTTAAAGCGAAAAAGACGGATTTATTTTGTTTTTGTATTGTTTCAATCAAATATTCCCAATATCCAAACACTCTTTTTTATGGTTATACTTTTCAAAAAAGAACAGCTGGAAATCGCGCAACATATGGATACCAAGCCTCAAACATATGGAAGCTTGTGAATATTTCTATTATCAAAGTGTAGCAGCTTTGATTTACAGCTTCTGATCGGAGAATAATAAATGGGCGGAGCATATTTGATTGAAAGAAGCATAGCAGTAATAACTATATAGCATCATTTTTTAATTTTTTATGTTTATTTGTTCTCTATTTTTTCATATTACATATGGAAAGATTAGAACTTTCAGAACGAAACTCAAACAATGGTTATGGGTAATTCAAAATTCAAAATTCCATTTTTCGGAATCAATTACGTGTGCGACAAATTGTACAACATTTTGACACCGTCTATTCTGTTGGTATTTGCTTGTTTCCTATTAATGAAGAGCAAACTTGGCACTCCAATTTCGTGCATTTTTCCGAAGTCGTACAATGAAAAATTGATTGAAATTTCAAAATCGATTTGTTGGAATTCGAATGATACTTATCTCTACATGGACATGTTCCATGAAAAGGCCGCAACTGAAGTGTTCAAATATACCTATTTATGGCTTTTCTTCTTGTCTTTTATGTTAGCCGCAATCGGATTTATTTGGATGGGACTCGAGTCATATATTGGTGAGGAGAAAATAAGAGCAACTTCTGAAATTCATTGAAAATCGTTTAGGCTCATCAATGAAATATTTTTCGGAAACTACTGACATTATCAAAAATCTGTATGAATGGGAACGAGCTGAAAAAGTGGATGAAATGGCTCGAAAAATGACCAATATTCAAACGTTGCCGGTCATTAAAAGTCGATCAAGGTAAAGTTTAATCACATTTTTTGGAACAATTGAATGATTTCAACAGGATTTTGATTAAAAATCTAGTTATCAAGTTGTTCTATATCGGATGTGTTATGTTCCAATTTCTTGCAATGAGCCGCATCATTGGGGAGAATTTCGATGCCATTTGGGGAATTCAGGTATTTCCAATTTGATGATTTAATTAAGCTTTTCTCATTCCAGATTTTGGCCGGCAAACATTTTCAGATCACTTATGATGCCGCAGTGAATTTCCCGCACATTGTTTACTGTAGCATACGCACATTGAAATATCCGTTTGGCTGCGATACATTCCCATGTGTTATCGCATTTAATTTGCTAAATGAGTATATTTTTGCACTGCTTTCAATTTGGATGACAATTCTTCTCATTATCATGGCTGCTGACATCGCCAAATTTGTTGTGAAAGTTCAAAATTGTTCGTATATGAAACAAGTTATCTCAGATGTAACATTTAGCGAAGAGGCATTTCTTATAAATTATATCACATTCATCAAGATCAGCGGGAAAGAAATTTCTATTCGATTGGCTCGTCGCCTTCAATATTGCATTGGATTTGATGCTGTTGTGGGCATTCAAATCGTCTCCGACATTTCCCAGACGCTGGGTCTGCAGTTGATGCGCAAAATGGTGGATTGTCACCTTATAGATCACGATTTCGAGGAAAATGAGCAAATGTTCCAGATTTTAAATGTTCCAGATGAATGAAGAAAGACGAAGACGCGAACACATCCCAGATAGCCGAATCCGAAGAGTCCAACATGAAAAATCATCTTATCCGCTTGGCGAGAAGAGCAAGAACTTTTTCCCTAATTTTTCATCTTTCTTAGTTACTTCCATTGTTAGTTCTTGTTTCCTGGCTATTTTCGTGATTTTTTTTTAAATTTTTCTTAGCTATATTAATAAAATTGCTTTTGTATGCGTTTATTTCGATATTTTACTCAAATTCCGGTGGTGGGTCATCCGGAGAATGCAATGCGGGATCCGGATTAGTCGGCATTCGCGCTTTCATATTTGACCGTTCGGATCGTTGTGGCACTTCCGATAGCGCAGAAGACTCGAGTTCCTTATTTGAATTCTGCAACGATTGAAAATTTGTTAGTTTGACTCGCATTTGCGTAAGACCTGGGTTGATGTCCGACGAGCTTTTCCGTAATTCGCGTCACTGAATTTGCTGAAATGAAAGTTATAAGAAAAAAATTCAATTGAAGCAGCATACCTTTTGAAACGTCGACGAATGATTGATTATTTGCACATTTCGACAAGCTTATATACCATTTGCTTATTTTTTTGACATCATTCGATTAATCTAATTCGATTATAAATTACAAAAAAATCAGCATTCTATTTTTGTATTTTTTATTTTTTCAAATTTATTTGTCTAATTGGTTAATTGAATAAAGAAAAAAAATTAAGATGATATAAAATGCCAGCGATGTTAAAATTTTCAACTACTTGCCAACATTTTCAGAGGTATGTGGTATCATTCATATTTTTCAGTCGAAATTTTCAATTTTAGAATGCTTGCGCTCGGACTTCTTTTGGCACTTATAATTAATTTATTCAATCTCATTTTCAGTTTGATTTTTGATATATAGCGATTTGATATATTTTTATATAGACATTTGTATTTGCTAACATTGACTGTGACCGACAGCGATTGGACAATATTAAATTGACCTAGCCGGAGTTGTCTTTCCACGATAAATGAAAGTTGGAAGAGGCAGGAATGCTGTGCAATACCTCAAATCATCAATTAAGGATTCAGTTGATAAAAAACACTATTATCATTGTCTCATTCAGAAGTCACACGTCTTCTTCCATTTTTTTCAATTCCTATTTCAGATTATTCAAATAAGCAAATAGATCAGATTGGTAAATAAATAGACACAAAGAGAATGATAAATTTCGAAATTTGGCCGAAAATGGCGTAGCAAAATTTTTTCAAATTTAGTCTCTCGATTTTACGATTTTTTATTTACTTCCTACAATATTTTGGTTACCTTTGAGACTCCAGAAAAATTCAAGGCTTCAACACACCAATGGACTCATTTTTTTGTGCCTGGAAAACGATTCTAACACTCCCCTCCCCATACTTTTATTCATATTTTACAAGCCAAATTAGCTCTTCCGATATAGGATTGCGAAATCACCTGACGTATAAAAGCGACAGTATTACAATCTGCACACTCCTCCATTCTCCCACTTTCTCATCGCTTCTCTAAATCTCTCCATTTCACATTCTAAAACATGCGAGGAATGTGTCCCGCTTTTTTGTCCGCTCATGATTTCGCACATAGAGCGTCGTCTCGCCTTCATCGTCGGTTTTAACCCAGTTACACAAGGTAATTTGGAGTTCCGACCTTTCAATAGAAAGTGTCGAAAACATAATTTTTGAACAGCTTCTTCGGGGTATCCGTTGAGGCAATAAAGCAAATATAAAAAATGGGGAATACATTATGTACTATTTTATTTCTTCTAGTATTTTTAGTATTATTTAGTATATTTATTACTATATTATGTTAAAGGTAATTAATACATTATCGTAGTAAAATGAAAAAAAAAGTGAATCTCTGATAATCAATTGGACACGTTAATATATTTAAAAAAATCTGACACAACAATTACAAAACCCGTAAATATTTAATGCTGGGTATCATTCTTATATTTCCATGGAAATCATTTTAATACTTGTAGGGACTACAAGGTTGTCTTTTTTCGATGCGTTGTGAGAACAAACTGACTTTCCTCTTATCGTCACCTGAAAATTAACAATATATTATTTTCAAACAAGTTGGAAAACTAACCTCAAGGAATGCAACAAGCTCAACGCAACAGTACATGACCAATGTTGGCCACATCATAATCCAGTGGAAAACATTTCGAATTATCCCGGTTTCGTCTTTGGTTTGTCGTGGGAAAACTGGCTGACATAGATAGTTGATGGCAACGACTGCAGCGAAGAAAAGGTATTGCAGACCGAGGAAACTGAACATGATGATGGTGAAACACTTGTTATTTGGAACAACAAGTCCATGAGCACCATGATCAACCGCATTCAGCATTGCGGGAGTCTGAAAATTCTCGTTGTGCTGGAACTATTATGAAATTTGAATACCACAAGAGGTGCAACGATTCCGTAGACCGAAGCAATGCAGAGAAGAAATCCGTAATAAAAGACGAATTTGAATGCAAATGAAATGGAAACTCCTATTGGGAGTCTGAAGGCTTTGATGGCAAAATAATGAAACACCTAAAATAGAACAAATTTTATTTTTCTGCTTAATTCATTTCCCTACTTCTGCTGCTCCAATTGTCCACCGCCTGATCTGTCTCGCCCATTCATACCATTCATCAACATAATTCTTTCCACTTGTCGGCCCACTAAGTGTTGCTACCGGGATCATCCGAATCACACACTTCTTCCGAACAGCAAGGGACCAGCGAATAAGAGCAATGATGTCGTCCATTTGATACCCTGGATGTGTGTATTCTCCGTCTTCGAAAAGCTTTAATGTCAGAGAGAAAATGCTCATTGTATTGATATTCCACGGGATCAAGAATCCCATCATGAAGAACGATCTCATCAATCCCGTGACTCTAACGAAAAATGGAGATTTGTCAAGATTGATACAGTAGAAAAGAGGAGACTGCCAAACAGTATAGGTTCGTTGCTAAAAATGATTAGTTGTAATTAGGATTAATTAATATTTTAGTACCTTTGGAGTTAACTTGAAGTAATCTTCTTCAAGTGCATCGAAATATCGATCTCCAAATATGGAATCACAATCGCCAGTGGTGACCAGCAGCTCTACATTATTTCCTGTTTTCCCAAGTGGATAATCCTTGTCCTTCCGAAGAAGCTGAACGGCATAGCGAGAGGCATAATTGAAGTTTGAGCATTTTCCTAGAACGTGGTTCAACGGAATGTGTCATATTGTGCTAATCATGTATCATTTCTTCAATTGTATTGTATTCGAAAACTTTTTTGAACACCATCTTTGCTTGAGAGCGTCAATTAATGAAATCGTTTAAGGTTGTTAAAATCCGCAGTTTTAATCGGAATCAAAATGTTCACATACCAGGAATATCACCAGGGAGTCCACGGGGATGGAATGTGACGATAAATCTTTCAAATTTCGAATCATACTTTGCATGTAGCATTGCTTTTTTCTAATAGCAATGTTCATTATAGATTATTTAATAAATAATTACCTCTTCCTTATTGGGAGTCCCTTCCTCCATACCGATTAAAACAGTGATTTTTGATTTTGCATTTGGCTGACATGCAATACTGTCAATGGTGTCTTTTAAAAGTTCGGGTGGCTCATTATAAACGCAAATTCCAACTAAATGCTTCACAACAATTCCAGATTCATTTGGTATCTGAAAATACTGCAATTATTGGAGATTGTTATTCATGAAACACGACCTTGTCCAACTCAATTTTGTGGGAGGCGTATTTCCTCAATCGGTATGTATACCGAAGGTTATTGAATAATGCAATTATCCATTGACAATGAATGACAATCGTGAAGATAATGACAATTTCTAATGCGAAATCCTAAAGATTGTAATCAGATTGATGTTAATAGCATATAAAATACTTACATTCAATGCTGGAATTGTTGGAATCCAAATCGGCGAAGAAATGAATAAGAATATAAGAAATGTGAAAAGTAGATTCCATCGCAAATAGGCGTTTGCAGGTTTTTCATTTTTTCCAGAATAATCATCAATGCTGAAAATATGTGATTTACCTTGCTATTTGATCTGTTCATTTTTATTTACCTAATTGCTCTGTCCACAATTTTCGGTGCTTGTTTCTTAGGATGCAACGTCTGCAAGATGTTCGAATCAAAAATAATTTGTTGATATCAAAACTGACAGCTTGGATTGCATGAAGTTCGGCTAGAGTAGGAATATCGTCTGAGCTCATTTCGAAAATGCTTTTCCTTGTCATCCAATTTGCCGGTTTTATACCCGAGTCAACGGTTGACGATTCGGTGGGCGTTGCTGTGTGCTCCCCCGCAGTTCAACATTCCAACGATTTATTCAAGAATTTATTTCGCGATGATGATTTCATAGGCATTGGAATATATCAAATGTTTATTATTTGCATTATTCTGCAAAATGAATTGAGAACCAAATAATGATGTTGATATGTGACCGGAAGAGGAAAACGCCCTTTAAAGATACAAGTGTTTTACGTCAATGTTTACCTTATTGTTTTTTAATAACTTTGCATCATGTCTTATCAATATATATCAATATACAGTACATCAAACCATATTTCTGGAGAATATTCTAATTCGATTTTTCCCTTTTTGAAACATGAATTATTGGTATTTTAATTCTTTGTTTTTATACAGTAATGTCAAGAATACAGACCAAATAAAAAAAACTATTGTTACTATTTTTTGTTTTCATTATTTCAAATTTTCGAACCTTAAATTTAACAATGTTCCGAACATTTGAAATAGTTGTAAATGGGTTGTTTTAATTATGTCCATTATCTAAACAAATTAATGCTCTCATTTTCTGTTTTCAAAAAAATCTTAAGCTTTATACCAATAAATCTTGATGCCTGGAAATTCATGAATTTAATGAAAAAACCATTCAGATTTGCATTAGCTTAATCTCATAAAACAAATTCAATATCAGGGGATGCTCATATTTTTTCATTTTTTTTAAATATTAAAAATTAATTTTTTGAGCATTAGTAAATTTTTATTTTTCGATTAAGGTGATTCATTTAATTTGCGCTCAGATTCTTACAATAATTTACAAGAAAATAATAACATTCACTATGCAGGTCAATCATGTTGAATGTTGAGATTGTTCCTTGTTAGCCCATCGAATAAAACTCTCGTCATTCCACAAACAGTGTTGTTCAAAGTTTGGCAAAACATTGTTCAAATTCGCACAAACATACTGTTTCCAATAGATCAGGTTCATTTTTTTGCCCTACAATCCAACGTCAGTTTGTTTGCAGTTAAAAAAATAAACTAGAGAATGGGAAACTATGTAGATATTCTACTGAGTGTCTACTAAATTCCTAACACCCACGAAGAAGAGAGCTGTCAAAGTTACGATTGTGATGTTTTGTCTATGTTACAAAATTCATGTTTCATCTTAATTATAAGACCATTGCAAATATCAATATGGGAATACAATTTTTTTGAATAATGGGAAACATCAAACAAAAAAAATATAAATTTTTAATTAAGAAATAACTCAGTTTACTTTTTGAATAAAGAAAAAGACAAACCAATAAAAAAATAACTTCCTTATTATCGTATTGTCTGCCAAGGTGCCCCAAGATAAAGAAAAATTGGCTTACGCGGATTAATAACATTATAAATTTGCGCATACGTAAATCTACACCAATTTTGCAAATCTGAAATCCCGAATTCTCGATCAGTTATTTCAAACCAATAAAACGTCCTTAATGCAAGATATAATTATAAATTCAGGACCCCAATTTTTGTGTGCATCTATTATTTTCTTCATTGTCACATTTATGGCTTAAGAAACGCGATCAAGAATCATTTAAATATAGTGCACCAACAGATTTCTGCGCAATTTTCTATTCATTTATAAAAAATGGAGGGTTCCAATATTATTTATCCGCATCGTTCATTTTTTTTTTGGCTAATCGTTATGTTCATGAGCACTGAAACTTTTGAGTTTCTCTGTAGCAAGATAGTCAAGGCCAAAGCTTTTCGACATGTACCAAAGAACACTCAATATTGTCAGAGCACACAGTAACAAATTGTTTCCTAAAACTTTGTTTTAAAAATGAATGATCTCTTTTACCAAGCAACTTTTACAATGTATTTGTTTATGAAGTATACCATTTTCTGAGCACTCCGAGCAATTTTCATAATAAATTTCATATTTACAATATAAATGTTAAATGTTAACAACAGCGTTCTCCAAAGAACACCGCGATGGCTCCAACGATGACGCTAGCTGCTGAACATATAAGGGCACCAATGGATAGCCAATATGAGTATCCAAGTTGGGAGCTGGTATCAATTCCTTTAATGAACTCTCCCCATTCAGCGGCATAGACGATATCAGCGATGAGAAGAAGGATCGTGGAGACAACGGCGAAAAATGTTAATGGGTGGATGACGTACTTTTTACAGCAGCAGGCAAGACTGAAATGTGAAAATTGATCAATTCGCAATCTCCCTCCTTTCAAATATTACCATGTAAGCACATTGTATACGAACGCGAATATTTCGACGATAAGAGAGAGGATCATGCAAACAACAACAGTTCGCAGCCATGTTGGGAGATTCTGTAAATATCAACATTTCACATAATGACTAACGCATCGTTTTACAATTTGAACTGGGCATCTCGTCATTGTGCAAATAAAACACCCAAAGACACCATACATATTTACGTTTGTTGGGCGATTAAGTCAATGACAGCTACTACATAGATATGTCGAATCTAATGATACTAGAGGAATCAGAACTACATGTATAGCTTCTTATAGATTTTTATGTACATTTGAAAACGGCAAACAATTGTGTAAATAAATAAAACATGGTCTGTTTCGAATATTCAAAACATGTATACGTGAGAAAATATGGCAATGTTGAATTTTTCTGGAGAATTTCGAAATTTTTTTGCTTGACAACAAGCTCGAAATAGACCTAGATAGTTAAAATATTTTGTTTTTCTTGTTATTTTAGCTCTAAATATTTTAAAATGATTCGAAATTACTTACCGCCCACCAATCTTGACAAGTATTGCCCTTGGAATGATTCACACAGGACCATGGCATCAATCCATTCCATTTTGATGGATCAGTTTTAATGCCATCATTAAGATTATCTTCGAGTGTATTCCAGCCTGGAAATATAATATTTTAAATTCATTCCTTGGTCTATGGATCGCTCAGAACTTACTTGGAGTAAATAAGGCAATCGCTGTTAAAATAGCACTGGCTCCCATAAGAACACCATAAAGAATTTGGGTAAGTCCGGATAGACACATTTGGTAATAGTGATTCTGAAAAAAAAATCCAATAGGCCTGAACTTCCTGGAAGCAAAAAAAAGAAAGAGAAGTGCTGTTTTGAAAACGACATGGAAACCAAATTCCTTAACGCATGCCAAAATTAGCTTAGCAACGATGCTATATTTGTAAAGATCAACGTTAAAAAGTGAACTGAGGCATAAATGATTGATATCTTTCGAAATGCTGTATAAAAATTGCCGGTGATAAGGAGTATGTGTGTAACTCAACGTGAAAAAAAATGCGTTTGACATAGCTGCGTTCATATCTCAATAGCATATGTGCAAACAAAATGACTCAACGACCCCAAAAATGGGAAATTCAAAACCTTTGTGAACTCGTCGTGTGAGAGATCAAAAGTGGCATTGAGGTCCTTGAATAGAAAGAAGGATGAAGAATGAGCATCGGGAAAAAAGCGCTTAATTAGTTTTCATCCCTTCAACTCATTTTTTTTCGCTCAACAAAACATTTATTGGAATTGACAGAATATGAAATGAGGAGAACGGCGCAACCGCGCGCAATTTATACAAAAATATTGCGATATTTTTGAATTCGCCGAAATCAACAAAATGATGCGAATTCAAAACGAATATGTTCGCCGGGCATTAATCACTCGTCTTAGGCATTCCGAAATTCTGAGACATTTTCAACAAAAATTGACAGTGATGAATTGAAAATATCGCGGTTTAAAAGCAATATTATTTCAGACCAAAAAAGAACCTGATAAGAGCAAGCACGAAGACTACGTTGTTTGCGTTTTGGTACAATTTGAACTTGCCTCTTTTATACCATCTCGTTATCAATTCCTTAAAAGGACTTGGAAACGTCATTTCTCTGATTCATAACTGCCTTATCGGAAAAGAAGGTGAAGGAATTGAATTTATCAAAATAATCACGAAATGAAAACGCGATAAGTATTAATTATAAAAAAATAGTTTAGGTATAATTAGCATCTCAAAACAGAGAAAAAATAAATCATTAAAATTTGAATTTACATTACTGTAGATAAAACATGGATGAATCATCAGTTTATCAGCTCATTTAATAGCTCACAGATTAAAACGAATTGTTTATTCAATCAGCCTGCAAACATGGAAAAAATGTTTCCTGGACAGGTTCAATTGATTAAACTGTATGAGAAGTTTCACCGCAAACAAATGTTGAGAAATTGATGAATCACCTACCTGTATATTTTCTCAGATCATTTCTGTTTATCTAATGTACAATAGCGATTATTGCGAAATTTGTTGAATTCAATTTCAAGAAAAATTTTTCGAGTTATTAATTTTTTGGTAAAAAGGAACGGGTAAAACTGAAAGAAATTCCGAAACGAAGAGTCACAAATGATATATTTATATGCGTATATATGTATAGTAACATAACTGGTTGTGTTGACATCAGGTTCGACAAGTTTTTTTGAAATGACCGAGTTTATTGTTGAGAACTAATTTGCATATGAAAGCATCTGCAAAGCAATTTTGCACTTTGATGGCCAAGTAAATCTCTTACGATGAAAGGGGGTTGCTTCAGTTTTTGAATGATTATTTTTCAGTAAATAGCTAAATGTTTGGTTATCATTACGATCTATGGGATTTGAATTCAAAATGTTGCCAAAATAATTTAAAATATATTTCTTACCCTTAGAAATCGTCTAGTAATTGAGATTCGCCGAAATCAAAATTTAAAAATTTAAGAATCTGCTTAACATACCGTTTTCAATTCTTCCATTTGGACGAAGTTTTATCATTAGAAATATGAGATTTAGAGAATTTGTTACCACGCAATTAGGAACTATTATTGTCACATTAAAGCTGCCCATTTAAAATAATTGGCAGACTTACAATCCCTAATAATTTCGTTTGCCTAGTTACTTATCATTTCTGATCATACAGTAATCCAATATCAAATCCGTTTTCTCTGGTTCATATTGATTTCTTTGATAGGTATTGATTAACTAGAAAAATGCACTGCGCCTTTCACACTACCATATCATTCTATTTTTTAGCCGTTTCTGCGCAAATATTCTTTACATTTAAAATAATTATCACCTATATATTAGACATACACATAATTATTTTTCTTTCACAACACTAGAATTTTGTACTGCTTTACTATCATTCTCAAAATTCTCTATTCCGATTCGGCTAATCGCGTTCTCGCGCTCTGAAACTGAATCAGTTGTCGATTTTGCATAACCGACCACTATTTGCACCTGTTTCTCTCGTTTCATGCGTTTTTTTCGAGCCCTCAATTTATTATGACAATAGTTGATTGTGTTACGGGCACACACACGCAAACTATTAGTTAACACATCTGGCACACTAAATTTTTATATTTTGCCGTCTCCGCTGTATTCTCGATTGACCAATACGTTTGTCATTCACAATAAAGATGCACTCTATCTAAGGCCTAAATTGATTACATTGGCTAGTCATGTGAACGTATCCGATAAAATGAAACTCTTGCTCGATCGTTGATCGCCTCAATTGGATTAAATCTATGTGGCTCTGTCGCATTTTTAAAATTTCATTATTTATTTGAAACCGCCCAATAAATGCGTGTTGAATGGCGTTCTAAATCTCACATTTCCTTTTTCAATGGCTCCGCCTTGAATTTGCACATTCGCACCTCATCCATTTCAGCGGCATTGCTTGCTTCTCAAATAACAAACAATTCTTTTTGCTTGCTCTGTCAATCAACTCACGTGTTCTGAACATCAGCATCCAATTTTTGTAATACTAGACGCATAAGTAATGTCAGATAAATCCTCACAAGTGCGGCTCTTCCGGTACCTACTCAATTTATTCGGAGTATGCCGGTTCTTCGAGAGTTCAATGGAACAATCCACAAGATTTCTTCCTTTTCAGGAAATAAGTAATTACTAGCCTCAAAAATTGTAAGAATTCTACTTCCTGATAATAATTCTACTTCTGTCTTAGGTTTATATGTTTATGTTTATATTGCTGCAAACATTTTCAGCTGGCCCTATAAAGTCAAAAAATCAACATTAAAATTATATGGAAAACTTGATTTCCGACCATTAGTTCTCTAAAATAAACTTGCACCGTAGTTCAATCCTTGTCTTGTAATAAAACTAACTTTTTTCCCTCGATTCTCAAAAAAAATATTGCCGTAATTTACCTATAATACATATCTGCATAAAAGCTTTAATTCTATTATTGTTGATGTTTTCCTTCATCCATTGATTTGTTTTCTCTTGCCCATAAAAGTTCAACAAATTCGAAAAAAAACATTATCGCCGGATTGTTTACACTGTTGCGATTCGTTGTTTTTGCTTGTAAATTGGTTGGTTGGATCCTTGAAAAATTTCCAATAGTTCAAAATATATTTCGGAACATTTATACGGAATTGTAATGTTTGAAGCTCGTGCAGACATTTTCCTGGAATAATTCATGTCTGAAATCTTTCTTTTTCTTACTCAAGTGTGTTACCATCGTTCGTATTTAACTAACACCCTAATATGTGTTTTCATTCTCCTTCAAAGTTCAACCACTTGAAGAGTAACAAGAATAATAATTGATGTGAGTGTTTGTAGACATCTAGTCATCATTCTTAACCGTAATGTTTCATGCAAGGCACACAGATTAAGCTCGAAAAAAAACTCTCCGTTGCACAAATAAGGAATCGATTGTATCAACACGTCACCGGTGAAGTTTTGGTCTTCTTTGATTTCCAGTCTTCGTCTCCCATCCGCATTATCCCAGTATTTAATTTCATATCTATTTTTTTGCTTTTCTATTTTTTCTGTTCCTTCAGCTTCATGCAAGATTTGTTTAAATCTTTATGAACAGGTATATGAGCGCCTCCCGCTATACAAATAATCAATTCATGATGACACAAAAATAGCTTCCTTCGTTGCTATCCAGGCTAAGCATACACTGTAATTTTCTATTCAGCTACAATTCTCACAAATTCGATACGCACTTTTTTTTTCTTGGTATTACCGTATTCCGTATAAAGTGCGAGCTTTGTTTTCGAGGACTCAAGTTACCTGTTTTTACCCATTCCCTCAAAATCCTTATTTCCGCCAGAAAAAAAAGCGCGAAATACTCCAATAAGATTTCAAGACGTTTTCAATGACGTCTTCGTGTTATTCTTAGATGTCTAGCTCTCATTTATTTTAATTACCCGTCTGTTTGAGGGTTGCTGAAGAGCTCAAGCCCGAGTTCATCAATTTTCAAGATCATCATCCCCACATTTATTTTATTTATAGTACAATTTTTGGTTTCAACCTTTTTATATAAACATAGCTGAGATTGGAAATTTCATTCTTCTACTGACTTCACACTTCCTTATTTTCAGATCTCAATAATCACTTGGTGACATTTTGTATTGTTCGAAGAACCGTTTTTCCACCCCCCCCCCCCCTTCACAAAAAGTCAACCTACTGATTATTTTTCCAACAAGATAAACAAAAGAAAGTCAAGTGTATTTGTTTTGTATGTCTTTAGGCAACAACATATTTAGTTCCTCTTCCTATGATAATTTTTCCAGAAGCTGTTTAAATGACATGAGTGACAGTTTTGGAATCGTCTTCCCAAGCCATTCGCTGGCCTGCTATCATGAGCCGCGCATTCATGATCATGAGCTCTATTTCCTGCTACGCGATCTCAATGTCTACTTCCTTTTGCCGATTGCTTTTGCTGGAATTGTGCTCAACACATGCGCAATGGTAAGCCAGATTGATTATTTTGCGGTCTGTTGAGGGGCTCGTTAACTGGTCACGAGAATGTAATATGATATTGCGCGAAATGGACGGCGATATTCAATTTTAAAAATGTTAACGTGTGTGTGGGGTCACCGCCTGGCACCACGGACCACCCAATAAGTCATATTTTTTGCAGATATTCCTTTATCGACCTCCAAAAATCACATCCGGGGTTTTTGTCTATCTCAAAGCGCTGCTCCTCCTCGATCATATAATGCTATTAACAACATTGGGAGCCGAGTTTTTTCCTCAACTCTGCGATGATCATCACATGAAAAACCATACATTCTACCACATTTGTATGTTGGAAAGAAGATTTTTGAAGCACACGTTGCCAAGGTAAAATATTGATTTTTAAGATATGCTCTATTCTCTAAAGCACCAAAAACTGCTAAATCGCTTGTTGGGAATTTTTTTGGGAGTTCACTTTCCATTTTTCAAGTGGTCACGTGAAGAGCAGAAAACAATTGTTTAGCCATTGCATTAAAGAAAGACGTTCATTTTCAGAGTTGAAGTTACTATAAATAGTATTCATGTCTGGACAATTGCCACTCTTTCGGCTCATCGATATTGGAAGGTGACAATCAGAAATAAATCAAATATTATTGTTATTAATTCTAGATTTCACGTCCCGTTATTTCTCGCCTGCGCGACACTGTAAGTAGAGCGCACACGGTGCTCATCGCAATGACCGCTTCGGTGCTCATTTTCCGCGCTCCAATATTTCTGCTAGAGCTCGAGATTCGCAACCATCCACAATTGCGAATCAACAAGCGGATTGCTGCCACAGAGGTACACAAATTAATTAGGATGGCGCGCACGTGCGCGAGAAATCGAATACGTTGTTATTGTTGAAAAAAAAAGAATATTGTTCGGTGAAAACAATCCAAAGGTTATTTAAACAAATAGAATGATAGAGTTTGCATTCTGTACTTCATATGAGCACGTGATTGTTAGCGCAAATTGAATTGAATCGAAAACAGTGGAATTCGTTGGGGGTTTTCAGGTCCTTTCGTCATATCGATTTATCTATCATACTATCCTGGATCCCCTTCTCAGCAATATTATCCCCTTTGGATGGATGTGTGTGTTCAGCCTGCTTACATTATACGAGATTTACAAGAGCCGACATAACACTTATCAGCACATTGCTGTCGATCGTCCAAGGACTTCCAGTGTGACGTAATAATGCTCAGTGCACGTTAAAACACAATATGACTAAATTTAGGCATCCACTCGCTGGATGTTTCCCAAAGAAGGCGGAACTGGTCAGACAGAAGCAAGAATTAAGAGCGACCATTTCAATTGTACTTATCATTTTAATCTATCTGATCTTTCATTCGTTGAAACTTTACACGCTGGGAAGGAAATGGCAGCTTATAATTGAACGACAATGTCCAACAAGGTACCGGGAATTGAGAAGAAACCTGAATTTTCTTTTTTTTTCAGAAAGGACTACTACCAATCCCATCTCTCTGATGTTCTCAGCATGACGTCGGCTTCTATTAACGCCTTTGTCTTTATTTCATTCACAAATCGCCTCAAAAAGTATATTCGCCTAATTTGGCGAAAAACGTCTCGAACTCTTTCCAACTCCAGCGACCCTCCATTGAGCCCGAAAACAATCGCCTCAACGGAAAGCTATAATCATTTCAACTTGAGCGTTTAATAATGGCCCTCATTATCTGTTGTATATACTTGCATTTCTAATATCTGCATACTTGTCCATATTTGATCTCGATTTTCAAGTATTCCATTTTGATGGTTTCAATTTTGAATATTGTTAATGATTGGTTTCTCAATTACACGTAGTCTCCTTTTTGATACTCGCAATAAAGAATGAACATATTAGCGGTGAAAATAGTGATACAGTAATTGGGGGAGCTAAAGATCAAAAATTGTTTTGATCATTAAAATTAAATTGATTATTTACTCTTTTTTTCGTATTTTCCATCATATCATTGGTTTTGTTTACTGCTCATTATCTTTGGAATGGAGTAGTATATAAAACGAGCCAATCCAGTAGCAAATCACTCTTCCCATTCTTATACCAACAACAATAATGATGATGAACAAGACTGCTGAGCATTTCAAGTCGGGCTTTAAGAAGTTTGACGACGACAAGAAATTCGATTACGGCTTCGATAAGAAGTTGAAGGACGGCAAGAAATTCGACTACGGCTTCGATAAGAAGTATATGGACGACAAGAAATTCGACTTTGGATTTGATAAAAAGAAGCTCAATGATTACTTCGATGATGATTTGGATGAGAAGTTCTTCAATCATAAGCATTTTCATCACAAATACATGAAATGGACCAAGCATGACATGAAGGACGAGAAGTACTACAAGCTTCACTGTTAATTCAGCAGTCTCCGTTTTTTTTTTAATAAATGATTACTGGCATCAATCAAAAAAATATTATTGTTTTGTGTGGGCCACAATAGTGATTAGTTATCAAGACAAATTGTCGGCATCTCTTTGATTTGATTTCTTCAGTGTGGCCACAAATTGGTCATTAAATTTCGAGCCATCTTCGATAAAATTTTCAAAAGAAAATCTTGCCGTCAATCATATTTAAAAATTGGCGCATATTTTCATCAAGATTATTGCGCCTAAGTAGGAGATTTTGGGAGAGATTTTCTACGCAGTATACTAAGAATTCAGAAATCGTTCTATAATAATTGTGCACTTTAGCTTTCATCCGTTCCTTCATCCGAATAATCGCATTTTGAAGACCAAACTATGTTTATCAATTTTTTATTGCCATTAACGCTATATAGTGATCATAATGAGTACAAGAAGAGGTTCAAATAACAGACCAATGAGATCTTCAACAATCGAAATTGAGAAGAAAAAAGGACGTAAAAGAATAATAATTAATAGGCGTAGAAAAAAAAACACAAGAAAAAAACAAGAATGAACCCAAAATCTTTCACAAATGAATATTTAGGATGTCTTATACAGAAAAGAATGTAGAAAACAAAAGTTGGCGACAACTTTTGAAATGGCAAAACATTAAATATCCTATTACAATATGTTGGAGTAAACACTGGAATAAATGAGCGTTGACAATAAACAAAGTTATTGCAAGAACAAGAAAATAAAATACAGGGAGTGATAGTTGAATGCAAAAAAAATCGAAGAGAAAAGGCAATTTTGTTAAATGTATCTTGATTGTAGAAATAGATTGACAGATTCCATATCACTTTTTAACTGTAAAACGCTGAGGATTTAGAATCGCAAAATGAAGAGTGAAAAAGGTATTTACAACGATGAGAAAAACAAACAATCTACGAATTCGTTGCGAATTTGAAAAAAAAAAATTTACTAACAGGAAAAAAAAAACATTGAGGATTAATAAACATTAGGATCACAAATGACACGGATTCACTTTTCAGTGATTCATCGCTTTTTCAGAGGTGAGTCCATGTTGAGGCTGATTATCTGATGATGGTTTCAAGGTTATCAATCGTCTGTCATGATATCGTTGTAGAGAGATGGGCTCAAAACGGACAAGACATGAAAACAGTAGTGAATTTGTGATGGACACTCGGGATTTGACATGACAATGATTGCATTTCTGCTCAGAATCTGAAAAAAAAAAACACACACATATTATCATATATAATAGATTTGAAACCTTACCATATTATCCAGTAATCATAGCTGAGTTTGGTGCCGGCGGCCATTGTTGATTTTGGAAATAGCCCGGTGGCATTGGTGGATTCGGCATCTGATTTGGCATTCCTGTCGGCATCGGCATATTGTTCGGCATCGACATCGGAATTCCTCCGCCGTTTCCACCGCCCATTGAATTGGGAATGTTGTTGCTCATGCCTCCGGGCATCTGCGGCGGCTGCATATGCATCATCGGATTTGACATTGGGTTCGACATCGGTGCCGACATCGGATTAGACATCGGATTAGACATCGGATTGGACATTGGGTTCGACATTGGGTTCGGCATCGAGTTCGCCATGGAATTGGGCATCGAGTTCGGCATCGGCATACCAGGTGGCATCTGCGGTGGCATGCCTCCATGCGATTGCGGGGGCCCCATTGGCGATGGTCCCATTCCCATATTCGGCGGTGGTGGTCCGTTGACGCCCATTTGACCCGGTGGTCCCTGCCCAAGTTGTTGCATTTGAATCGCGTTCGGATCATATTGCGCATTTTCCACACGAGAAATCGTGCGCTCATCCTCCTCGCCAAAATCGCCGCCCATCATTGACGGCTCGCCAACGACCATGACATCTTGATAGCCCATCGAGGAAAATGAAGGATTAATTGGATTCGTCGGAAACGCTGGATTAGTCGGAGCCGGGCTTGCGTTTGCCGCAGCGGCGGCAGCAGCGGCATTCGCAGCAGCTGCCGCAGCTCCGCGTTTCGCCTTTGTTGTTGTTGGCGTCTTCCTGGTTCGCTTCTTTGGCGCCTTCGGCTTCTCGGGTTCCGGCACAGGCATCATCATAGGCGGCGCGTCTAAACCATCAAATGTAAGGAATCGACTTTCCCAGGCGCTTCATCGCACAATTTATTATGGGTCATCTCAGTGTTAAACTAATTAATGTGTGAGAAAACCTTCAAGGGCACAAGTCATATAACATCGTATAAATTCAACTAAAACTAGAACGTTGAAAATGCTTACTCATTTGGCGCATCGCCATTTCCTGCTTCCTTTGTTGCTCTTGGAAATGGGTGAAAGCTGTTCGCTTCATGAAGTCACGCGGATCGGTCTGGTTCTGAAATCGCTTAAATTAGATTTTCGCTAGTTGTCGCGCCACTTCAAGCGTCACCGACAAAGTGCGCCTCTATGTGTATGTATAACAAATGCGTGCTAATGAGTAATAAGCGCGAATTTCGAGGACGCAATCACCGGCTATTCACGAGCGGCTCGCGAATACGGCTGTCCGAAAAAAAAATTGTTCAAAAAATGTGCTATACGCACGAATATTGGGGGGGGGGAGCTGAATATACTGCGCGGGGAGCATTATAATAATAAATTCATAGGCGTGAGAGTTATAAGCCACTCAACGAAATGAGCTTCATGAAGGAAAAAACAGTTTTTTTTTCTCGGCAAGATTATCCAACGATATGATTAGAATTTTGGGTGAGGCAAAAATCCAACAAGATCGCTTGACGACATAATCTTGATTACAATAATACTAGGAAATTTGATAAATCAGAAAATTCTAGGTGTACTACTACAATTATCCGATAATCTTATGAAAAAAAATACTGCGATCGCTATTGAAAATCGCATTACGCGTGACGGTGACTGAGGTATGGAAACAGCAATAGCCAATCCTTTTTGACTAGAACGAATTGCGTGTAAGGTAGGGTGCGGAGCAAATAAGGTGAATGCATATTATATGAAAGGGCTCGGCATGCGGTACCAAACGCGTATTGCTAATTATGATATACACTGCGAGAAGCTTCAATGAACAATGCCGCTAATTCGCGAATGACGTCTATTGAAAATCTGTGCCGCTGTTGTTTAATTGAAGCTTTACCTTCATCACAACATCTGACTTTTAATGTCATACTTTTAGTTTCCCAGGGGAGGAAAATAATGATGATTTGAAGTTCGATAATATTTTCTGCTTTCAAAAATTATGAAATAAAACAAAACGTTTTCGCAATATTTCAAGACTGGATTAGTAAACTGAAAAATTCACCTGACTATTGAAAATGTAAATTTTAAATTGCCTCTCTAATGCGTTGTTATTTTTGCAATCGCAAAACTCGAACGAGAAAGAAAAAGCGCAAAGTTTTTGCCCCGAATTTTTCCCAGGAAAATTTCGTTTTCAACACACGTTTTTGTTTCACGCAAATGCTAGACAAATAAAACAAATATACCGTACCCCGTTTGATTTGGCGTTACTCATCAGACACGTCATCGGATCGAGTACTTTGCTGAGCTGCATAATTGTGATGGTGTGCGGCAGGAAACCTTTCTTCGACTGTCGCTGCTCAATGGCCTTGAAATCCTGCAAAAACGCGATTATTGGATGCAAATTTCATTTATCGGCAAATGCATTCTCGGTCAGGAAGCCTCAAATCATGACGCGCCGTCGCTGAAATTGATTTTCGCGCTCTCATTTTGCACCGATTCCAACGGCCCTCGCTCCCGTTTCGTACTTTTTGTTGCGATAGCTCATTAGGGACAGCGACGAATGGGGGGGGAGGGGAGCGACATCATCCCTTCTACACCACAGCGCCTCCGAAACTGACGGCAAGAAAACAGCAAGAAAGCATTGGAAGACAAAATCGAGTTGTGTATTCTCATGGGGGAGAGAACAAACGCGGATGATTAGAAGCCGACTACTGCTGTTTTGCATATATTTATAATTAGTGTTGTTATTCATGAGAAAGACGAATTGGAAAGAGAATACATGAATAACCCATGTAAATTTTGCATTCAGTTCATAACGAACGTATCCGAAAATAAAGATAGATAGAAACCACGTTTAATAAACACTAACAGATTTATTGAATATTCCATGTAACTTGAAACTTGCGCTCTAATCATACCTAGTAACATATTCAAATAGGCGCTTTTCGGCATCAATTATCTCGGCTCACGTCCCGTGCTTTAGACATTCGCCTTTAGCGGATAAATAGAGCAAAGTATAATTATTTAATGAGCCCTAATCCGAATAGCCCGGCGCACTTTTGATGATTCGAATCATTAAATTTTTACAATTCACATGTGGTTGACACGAATCTCCCCCAGTCGTCTGCGATAGAATGGGAATGAGATTCGAAATTCAATGTGGGTGGCGGAAAATCTGATTTGAAAAATTTGGTACGGTTTAGGTTTAAAGTTTAAGAGGCCAATTTATTCAGTCAATAAGTATTATATGAAAAACTTGAAACAGTATGAAAAATGGCAATTTTAGCCGCTATAAGCTTTTTGAAGCATTATGATGACAGTTACTTTCATCTTTCTACAGTAATCTCTATTGTGTGTTCGCTATCGGACCGACAAACAGAAAAAAGAAAACGTGATTTTCGGCATTTTCACACCTCTCGTACTCTTGATTCAATTCAGAGAAAACATCAATTTTTCGATTCGCAACCAACTGACAAACAAAGCGCCAAAAAAATACAACAGCTTGACTCACTTTTGAAGTCTCATTGAACAACAATTCAGTGCTTTGCTTCATTTCCAGCGTCCATCCGCGAATCCGATGATTCAGCACCTCATCATAAGGTGTGAAATCGGCGTATAGCCGACATTCGGTGGTGACCTTAAGATATACACATAGATACACAATTTCAAGGACACATCTACCTGTATAATACCCAGTGGACCAGTGAACTTAGTGACTTGAAGGATTCCATCATTCTCATATTGAATATAACCATTTGAAAGTTGGGTTTCCCTGGTAGCTCCTCGAATTACATAGAACAACTCTGTCAATCCGCTTTCAAATAATGACCGGAAAAACCTTGGTATCACAGGTCGGCCAATCACTGAACGTTTAAAGCGATTTCAAGATGAAATATTCGAAAAAATTACCGTATTTTTCAACAAGATTCGGATTGTTATCGTCATTGATTAAAAACCAAAGCTTGGCATCATCATCAAAGAACTCATGCGAAAACGCATCCCACCATTGAGTTCGATCTTTTTCCAATATCTGCAAATCCGATTGTCAATTATGGCAATGAAATGTGTGAAACATACACCAGCCGAGCCGAATGTGAACAACCTCCGGTTCATGTCGTGAATTCGGAATTCCAACGGCGTCGGCGCTGGGCCTATCGAAGATGTCGGCTGTTGAGGTGGCGGCGGTGGTGCCATCGTCCTCATACTAAATAATTGAAAATTAGCCAGGTTCGACGGATTATGCATCGTTTTTCTATGAATGAATGAATGAATTGCTCCCTAATTGAGTGTTTTTATATGTCTATGTGGATATGTATGTTTACAAAAAAGAAAAATTCACATCATTGATTGCGGTGTATTTGATTGTTGTGGCATGATGAATGGGCTGTTAGTTGATTCTGGACTCCCAAATGGTGGCGGTTGACCATAGGGTACGTAGGCATAATCGGGATGATGATACATCCCGCCTTCCATGCCTTCCATCCCATAACCATTTGGATGCATCATGGGATCGTAGGCGTCTGGCGGTTTCAGTTCTTCTTGATTCACCTTCTTCTTGCGAGATCTTGGCGCCTTCGGTGCCGCTGGGGCACCATCCCCAGCCTTGCGCCGAGGCATTCTCTGCGTTAATTTTGGCGCCTGAATCCCTTAAAAAAAGAGCACGACTCGATGAATTTCGGCAAGTTTCGGCAAAATGAGAATTATAAGATGCAACAACAGCATAGTATCAAAAAAATAACGCAACATAACGCATAATAAAAGCGAGTTGCAATACGACGAACACATGACATTGATTGTTTGTTTTGTTTAGTTCCCAGAATCTCTTGAAAAAAACTGTTGTGAACGTGAAAAAAATAGGAAAAACAAAAAAAAAGTGCATCAACATTTTCAGCAATGAAAAGACGAGCCGGATATTAGTTCCAGTCTGACCATAATAGGAGTAAAAAAAAAGGAGAGAAGCGGCGGCTAATTCTATTTGACCTAGAGATGATGGGGATAACACTGGCTGGCGACAAAAGAACACGATGGAGGCGCCGAATACGTCGAGGCGGGTCGTGAAGAGTCACAAAACTTTCACTGGTTACTTACTGTTGAATGAGCGCAAAGCATATTAGCCAAGTTGCACGACAATCAATAAATATACAGTAACCAGTTTTCACTGTCTGTTCTTCACTCCCTTCCCATCACTTCAATCGTTATCATTGATAAAAAATATATATTAAATTGTTGTGCGTAGAAAATTTGATCAAAATTACGATGGAGTAGAAAGAAGAAGAGGTGGGGGAGGAGGAAGATGGAGGCAGAGGAGGCGCATGGAGATTTGATAAAAATCGATCGCGCCAATCGAAAGAACGGATCAATGTGGATAACGGAGACGTAGGCGTGAGGAAAAAACTTTTGTCGCTTTCATCTCTCCCGTAATCCAACAATTGGTGAGACAGCCTCGAATAGTATGTGGCGAGGCTGAATAGAGGGACAGCAGGGCCGTGGTGAGGACGGAGGCAACGGAAAAAAAAATACATATAACCTTTCTCGCGTCGCTACCACGAAGCCCTCACCTATGTCGACAGGCATACAGGCACAAGGAGGATCGTGATTGGTTAGGGACGAGTGTCTGACAGTGGATTTTTTTTTGCATAACCTGTTCGGCACAAACTTGAATCCCATTGCCAACATCCATTCGCTGCTAGATGAGGCTGGTGGATTCATCGATAACTAGTCAGCGACATTACGAATATATGACCACCTTATCGAGATGTGTACTTAGGGCGGACGATTTCTTATCAATATGCAAACGAACTCAAACACTCTTGTATTGAAACTTTGAGGGACGCGATGCTACGTGCGGGGAGGGGGAAGAATAAATTTAATTCAAAAATAAGGAAGATGACTGCACGTAATTGATAAGATCTGAAGAAAGAATGACTGACTTGAATTGGGTGTGTGATGGAAGAACCCCATAAAACCATCACGAACGTCTTGTGATTGTTTCGTCGACAGTCGAACTTTACATTTTTTTTCTTTCTCCTACGACAGTATTACACAATAAGACAATAGAAGAAAATCAGAGAAAATTTGTCTATCGTATATGCTATTCTATAAGCGAAAAGAAGACGTCATGTTCCTTAGATTGAGCTATTAAAGTTTTGAGTTAATTTTTCATTTGATGGTTGTCACATATACGGACAACAAATAAAACAACAAGCGCCGGGCCGGTGCGGTGATGTCAAAAGAAGCGCAATATGTCAGAATCATTCGCTTTTCATTTGTTCGTCATTTATGCACAAAACAACATTTTTGGGGTGGGCTGGGTATGAGGGGGGGGGGGAAGGGTTTTGTTGCAATTGTGGGTGGGGGCAGCGAATCCCGGAAACGATCACTGGTTTCTTGAAACGCGAACTCGCGCACAAAAGAGAGCACGTCTGCAATTAGGGCGCAATTGATCGGAAAAGAAGCACTCCATTGGAGAAGAAGGTGGCAAGAATGGGTGGGGTAGGGGGAAGATTCAGAAGGACGGGGCAAGAAGAATTATAAAACAAGTTGCAAATCATGTTCGATTCGATTTGAACTTAACCAAACCACACAAAATCGACATCATTTCGTTTTCTATTTCGATCTCGTAGTAGTTTTTGGGTTTCTAGGTCATGGTGAAGGTCTCGTCCGCATGGAATTCCGGACGGCGTAATTTATCGCGATAAAAAGGGTTACGCCAAAAATGTTTTGGCCGAAACGATTTCAAGACAATTGTCTTTCAGCCAGCTGCTATTTGGCAGATGGGCGTTCACCACACTCTCCCATCACTCTCTCCTACAGAGATTGCATGGCGCAACATAAACAAAATGAACAGTGACGAAGACGATGGTGGTGACCAGAAGCTCGTGCTTCTTCCTGAATACGAAGCTTCACTCGTTGTTGTCGTGCTCACTCCACAAAGGCAACATGACTAAGACGAAAGAAAAAAGAGCCCCCCCCCCTCCTTCGCCTTCTTCAACATCTCTTCAAGAAGCCCCCCTCCACTTGGTTTGTGGGGGCCGAGCGGGCAGGGTCCGCAGGCAAACACAAACAATACGAAATCGATCTGAATCGAATCGAATTGAAGGTGATGAAAATCTCACGGTTATCCCTCCTATGGTCCCCCCCAAAGTCATTTAGCGTGCAGTCTCGTGATGCCTTTCATTTCTATGCCTTGTCATCTTCCTGAACAAGGGACCCCTGACGATTCAGTCTTGGAGCCCCATATAGTGTGAATGAATGCGCGAGACGCAGTCCCGTGCCTTGTCTTTCCTCTAGCCCCCAGTCCCCTCCCTACGCTTCGACCTCCCCCACTAGGGTCGGCAATTTTGTAGCGAAGAGGTGGACGGGAGGGGAAAAGAAAGAAACACGGCGTGCGAGAGACTGAACAAACCATAGGGAACCCCTCACTTCTCCCCATCTCTTCACCATCGATGATGATGGTGCACCCAAACCGGTGAGACATTGCGAGACATTCAGCTCGTCGGCGAGAGACAACAAAACGTTCAGAGACTGGCACACTGAAATAACTATAATAGTGGTCACGTGGAGTGCGCAGGCTGGTGCGCGAAATCCGCGAGACCTCATGAAGCGAGGAGTACGCCAGAGAGCGCCAGCATAAGGGAAACGAGGCGCAGAAGAATAGACAAAAAAAGATGAAGACACAAGTCCCTCACCAGTCGACTAGCTTCGGTCCCTTTCCCTTCCCCCCGTCGGCACAATCGTTTTGGGTTGTCGAGTATTTGGCAACAAGGGACTTCGATTGAAATAATAACTTGACTGCAAAAGATCGACATCCCCAAAAAACATTTCGATTAGAATTTTTATTGTATTGGAAAAATTGGATAATTCTTCGAAAACAGTATTTGTCGCGGTCGCTCAATATTAGGAATTTTAAAGGAGCTCCAGAGTAACGAAAAATAATCGCGAAATAAGGCGTGTTTGTCTGGATAAAAGAAATGTGAGAAAAATTTTGGATTCTTTTTTCTTTGAATCGAAAGGAAATCGTTGTTTTTCGATGGATGGCAGGCTGCCCCATTTTCAGATAAACAATCGATTCTTACAGAAGATCTCAATTTGGTGTTATTGCAAGATTCAAATGTAGGGGATGGATGCATTTTTAGATTTTACATTTCTATTACTACTACTACTACTACTAACTATACATTTTTGTTGTGTCACGTCATCTGTCAGTTATTTTTCACATTTTTTTCCAGCTGATGTGTGATGACAACTGAAAACAAACGAATAATGAAGAATGGAGCCGACGGTGGAATAAGAATATTTGGAATATTGGAACAACGTTGGGTTAAATATTCGATGACACAATAAGCCGTTTATGAGAGCGTTAATACCCAATTTGGGTAAGCATTTGGAGGACCGGCTGTCGGGTTTAGCCCAGCTAATGCGAGTCCAACCAACTTAAACCAATTTACTCGCCGACCATATGCGGGCATGCCACGGATGAGTCAAGGAACATTTTGTTGAGCAGCTTTTGTGTTGAGGAAGGGAGCGCGCAGAATTCAGCACCTCTTACGCAAGAGTTTCGAATGTAATGACGAAAAAGGCCATCTTGTGGAAATTGGGATTAATCAAGAAGAGCCATTGGGAAAAATTTCTCTGATTTTCTGATGAAATTTCTTGTTTTTCTATTGGAAAAGTAAAGTAATTCAAATGTTGTTTGTTTTTTTTTTTCGGGAATGAAGCCTCTGATGAGGAAGAATAGAGGAACGAGGGTGGCCGAGCAGCTTATCCTCCCTACTTGTACTTGATGGATCTGCATAATGTATGCATTAAAATGCATAAATTATTCAAACTGCCGGGCCCGCTTGAAACAATGCGCGCATGTGTGTCATGCGCTGGGCAATAAATGGTTGCGGTTTCGAGCAATAATCTTTGAAGTTCTATACCCAGATTCGGAAGCTTGATGGGGTTGGAGCACAACTCTGCTGGTGAGAGTTCAGACATTGACAATTGGGGGACCTCAAAACACGCTAAAACTTATTTTGTTCTGTGGGGGAAAAAACGCGTCGGGGTATAATGAGAATGATTGAGGAACACTCGGAAACGTTTAGGACGAGCGCGTCATCATCAAAACACTTGGGTAAGGGAAAAGAGGAAAGAGGCCTAGTGAATCGCCTCTTCAAGTCATGTCATGCATCATTACCGAAATTTTGCGACATATGTTGTTGAAGCACAATTTCGGACCACGCCCACTTTTTTCTTTTCCTCTCAGTTTCCATTCCATTTCTTTGCCATTCGCGAAAAATAACAAAATAAAAGAGGGTGGGGTCGGAGGGGAGAGGGGGGGTCGCGCGGCTTGCGATCCCATTGGGAATGAGCCGCAACGAACCACCCGTAGAGAGGCGGTCCCCAAGGAAATTAGTTACGCCTATTGAACATTATTAATACGTTTCGCTGATACCAGCCAGGAATGGAAAAGAGGGTTATGAAGATTTTTGGAAACCATAATTTTCTAGCCTGCTATGGATAGAAACAGATCGCAACCAGTCTTTCCGCATTCAACGCAATTTTGATCAATGGCTGCATATGAATCGATATCGGGCAATTATGAACATCGGGGGTTTGTGAAACGACTGACGAAAGAAACTAAGAATCGCCGGTGGATAACAGCGACAACAGAATTTGCATTGAGAAAAAAAAATGTATTGATCGAGAGTGAGTGAACGATTTGCTGTGGTGCGGCGAGCACGGGCGGAGCACACTCTCGTGCTCCGTTGGCCGCGCAACTCACCCTGCAGTCCAAGACGTAAAATGTTTGATGTACAGTATGCTGCTAAGAACGCATACGTAGGTGGGTTCGTCGCCTCACGATTTGTTTGTTGCCAAAATGCATGACCGCTGGGCGAAAGAGCATTGTTTGAACAGAGGGAGGTGCCTTTTAATTCAATATTTCGCTCGATTCCAGGAGAGTCAAAGCAAATGCTGGCCCATCAATTTTTTTTTCTCATATACCGCCCGTTAGAACAATTATCGCTATCGGGTGGTCCCGTTTTCAAAAATCAATTTTTAAACGCGATTCGTTTAATTGCGCCCACCTGTCGCCGAGATTTCCTGAACCGCCATCGATCAAATTGCAAATTATAGGGGGAACCACCGATTTTGGTCTCAATGGAATAATTTTTATGAGAACTCAACTCTCAGCATGAAAACTTTCATGGAAATGTCGAATACCACATGATAATAATTATTCCGGATTCAACAAAAACAAACATTGAAAAACAATTCTTTGGTGCAGAGTTGACGATGTGGATGCACTTCTGGAATCTCTATGGAAACCTGAGAATTTCAATTTCAGATGACATTATTTTTGACATTCAGTTGTTATCAGTGAAAATCTTGTGTAATAAAACTAGTCATCTCGGTCTTAATATCACCATTTTAATTCCTATTTTCTTGAAGCAAAAATGTGAAACATATGGAACCAAAAACTCAATGGGCCAAGACGACATAAAGAGCATAGTATCAATAAAAGCTAAAATAGAGAGTGAAAACCGACTATAGATACATAATATTGTCTATAGGGAATGCGTGGGGGGGGGTGTTTCGAAAATTTGAGACTCAGACTAGAAAACCCTAGGAAAAAACGTGAGTAAACACGAGTTCATGGCGAAAATTCTATTTGACCTTCCCCCTCTCACCCTTTTTCTTTCCACCAACACATATAAAATTTGCTGGAAAGCGTTCAATTAATAGGTGCGCGAACCGGACAATTGACTTCCTTCGACTACTGTACACTATAGCAACTCATGAGCAAGAAGGCAGAAGCAGGTAGACCAAAACAAAAATATTTTTCATCATGAAAATGATTGGCGTCATGGCAACTCAACGGTGATGTGCAAGATAAAAAAGAAATGAAACTGAGACTATACCTCAATGTCAATATGGAAAACCGGAAAAATAACGAAAGGGGGTGGGGGGGGAGACAAAAAAAGAAATAAAAATGCAATTTATGATGATTAAAACCCTCAACCATGCGTTGACCCGATTTTATGGCTCTTGTGGCAATTATCATTCATTCATTCATTTATTTATTGGTTCATTCAACCGTTTCGACAAATAACCACCCTTCCAAAATTAACATACCTGCGTGATTTTCCGCGAGCGGCGAGTGGCCTTTGAGCTGGCGGCGGCATTACTGGCATCGGTGCCATTGTTGGAGGTTTGGGACCTCCTGGCCCTGGAAACATTGGACCCATTGCTGGTGGCATTGGCATGGGATTGAGAGGGGGTGGCATTCCTGAAAAAAAATTGTATAAAACTGAAAATCATTTGGTGCGTTTGAATCCTAGCAACACAATGTTTGGAGAAAATGATCAAAATTGAATATTTCCGCTTTCATCCGGTGTTCTCCATATACATTTTTTTTTAAGAAAAACGTCATTTTTCACGATTTGAAAATTGGCTTCTAAAATAACGCCGCTACGACTAAACTTCACCCGTTATAGGAAAACTTTATTCAAATGTTGCGAGTTTTTCCAATTGCGCGCTGATTTCAATCACTCAAGGTTAACGCGTTTTGCGCGAAAAAATACATACATGAAAATTTTATGGTATTGTTATGAGAAAATTTAAGAACCTTTTCTATATGTATATTATGTGGAAACTATATAACGGATTTTAAAAACGACCACTATAATGAACAGAATTTCGAAATTTTGGTCTCATATAGCCAATTCATGAAGCAGTAGTAATAGTAAAAGCAAAGGAACTATCGAAAGCCATCTGGGTCCTACGACGAAAGAAATAGTTGCGTATTATAATTATGTTGGTCGGGTTTCCAATGAAAAATGGACGTTGCGACAAAAGCAAGTTAATTAAACAAATATGTGCCCATATTTATTCAATTACCCACTCAAGTCTCTAATAAAACCCAATTGGATAATTTCCAAGAACCATGCGGGGGTAAGGAATCCCGGATAATCCGCATTTTCTCAAGTTTCTCTTAAGATTGAAAACAAATAAATATCATATAAATATTTTCAAAAAAGGGTAGTTTTCCTACGCAAAGATGAAGGATATCCAATTAAAAACATTGCGTGGGACATCCGGCGAATTCAATTGGCTCGTGCTACGGTTGCATTTTGTTAAAAACAAATCGGATTTGGTATTTGATCGCGTGAGGGCTCCCATCTTGTTTACAGCGGGGGGGGGTCGACGTGTCGAGTGGGACAAAATTGGCTTTGTTAAAGACTTACTCATCGAATGCATTGCTGGAAATATGTGAAACCGCTGTCAGGCTCGTCTTGAACAACTCCGGCTATCGAATACTGGAAAAGAAATGCGTAAATATGTTTATGACAAGAATATGACATGTAATCGCAAATAAAAGAGCGAAACGAGTTGATTAATCTTAACAACTTTTCATGAATATTAATATTTACTAGGTAATGGCAAAAAAAACAGCAGCGATTATTGATAAAAAAAAACCTATGGAAAAAGTTTTGGGCGAAGGAAGTTCTATTTTCGTTCCTTATGATTCGATTAGCAGCGCGTCTCTGGAATCGAATTAACAGCATCCTCTTTCTTGTTAAATATTTCTTACTCAATGTTGCATTTCTTTTTCAACCGGTTTAATACTATACGTTCAAATTTACATATATAGATATATAATAACAATGGAAAATAATATGGGGCCACTGGTTTTTGCCACATGGGAATTTGCAGCATTGAATAAATAAACAACTCCACGATTCATATATATTTGGTGTTGGCTTTCCAAACAATTCAACGAGTCACCAGCATAATGTTTTCAAAAAATAATAATTTTGGGACAGTCAAATTCTTGTCGAACTTTTTAAAATTAGCGTCAAATTTGTAACGAAGAGTTCAAAAAATCTTGAAATTTTAGGATGAGCTGATTAATACGGTATTTAGTTTAATCTTTTATGAGCTTAGAAGTGAAATGTCTGAGATTTTTCAACAATACCCCCATGTTCCATATTAGGGAGAATAATATTGAAAAAAAAAGGGGGTAATATCGAAAAAAAAAACTGAGAGAGTAAAAGTTAGACGAGAATGTCCCGAAAGTTGTTTATAAAGAATATCTTTGGCACTCGTTGGACCGAAAAAAAGGTCTTCCTCGCACATTTTCACCGCTCATATTTAATTCAGTCAACCGAGAAGCTGAGGATAAGCAACTTGAAGGCACAAAAATTGGAACGCGAAGCGAAGAGGGGAAGAAGCAATAATAAATATAGAGGCAACTTGAAAAAAAGGAGCTTATACTAGTCGCAAAAAAAAAGAAGCAATTGGGCGCGGGTTGTTGTGCGGCGAAGAAAAAAAAAGCGGAATCTACACATCTATAATATTGCCTCTTACAACCAAACAACTCAAGAAGGCTTCTTGCCGGCCAGGCCTTCTTCAAGGATTCTTTAGAGCTCGTCGTTTCAAAAATTAGCAAGGTTTCCATTCTTCTCCAGCACAAAAACACATAAGAAATGGGCACATTACACCGACGAAAACATTGAAGCTTCTACACCAAAACGCTAGGCTCTTCGTTTTCGGCTTGACAAACGAAAAAAAAAACCTGCGAGTTGCTTTTTTTCTGTGGTGAGCGCGCGTTTCGTATTTTCCGCCGCGCGACGTCGTTGCTTTATATCTGACTTACACGCGAGAAAAAAAAACAATGTTTTCCGATGAGATGTGCTCCCTCGAAGCGTTACATATAATTTAAAATGTCTGGAGCTGACGAGTATTTTTTTTTTTTCGGAACAGGATTGGTATTGCGAGAGACACACGTAATGCGAATGGAGGCGACAAAGAAACATGTTAGACAATTACCGTAATCCGTAAATGGAAGGAGCAACAATAGTTAAGCTCTAATTGCTTGTCTTACATCATACTAAAGATTTTTATATAGAAAATAGTGAATATACCAATCATTTTTCATATTCAAATGATCGGAAGAACAACAATCTTAATGCTAACATAAGTATTTAATCTTCAAAAAATGCAAAAGCTCGAAAGAATTTGAAGATTAGCGGCTCGCCTGCCTCGTTTTCAATTCACTTTGTTGTAAAATACAGAAAAAAAAACGCTGCGGAAGCAGTTCATTTAGTGATTTATTGGCTCGACTCTGATAAACAAACCAGCAGACGGAAGCTCTTCATTATTGATCGGTGAAGAAACTTGAAAGAAATTTTGAAACAAGTTCTTCTTGAAAAAAAAAACAATAATTTGAAGCTGAATAAGACGACGACTGGTAGAAAAAGAAATGATTCGAACCGACGCAGATGAGAAGGGGGGGGGGTGGATGTTCAATGTTCCGCTAGCAAGTTTTTTGGATGCTTACGGAATTTTTTGTTCGGTTCGTCAATCGGGCCACCTGTCTCAAAAATGCGTTGAAAAGTTGCATGAACGCGTTTGAAATGTACAATCGCCTCCCGTCGACCTTGTATGCGCCGCTGCTGTCCTGGTGGTGTGTGAATACTCACCGAACTGTATTTCTATTTGGTAATACTGAATATAAAAAACAAGAAGGAGAAGAGGAGGAAAAATGATTGGTTCCGGCAAAAGGGAGAAACGTTACAAAAAACAGTTTTGCTGAACGGCGTGCAGCAAAGAAGAGGTCTAAAGATGAATAGTTAGATGAAAATCGAAGGAATCGCTCTCTGGGCAAAAGAAAAGAGCATCATAAAGGAGTGAACAAAAAAGGCCCGTAAAATGACACCAAAAAAAAGACGTCTCTCCTCGCCTCTTCTCTCAATTTTTGCCGTCCTTTTCCAAAAGAATTCCTCATGAATGACTGGTTGCCAGGAAGGTAAAAAAAGGCAAGCAACAATTTTATTGGTCCCCACCGCCCCTCAATTATATATTGGAACCAATTAAACCGGCTAGATTCTATATTTTACTGGCTCGAACAGAAAATGACCGGAAAAAAAAGACGCATTCAACAAAAATTTTACGAGCAAAAAACAAGAACAGTATGGGATTAGTAGGTGTGGTTTCTCACGCATTCAACAATGAGCGTGAATAGAGAGTATAGAGATTTGAGAGCAGCTGGACTGTGCCGATCTGAGGTCACTGCACCAACAACATTCATTACCTCTCCGCAATCGATTTATGACTGTGCGTACGGCTGACGGTGGTTATAAATGAGTTTAGCAGAAATTCAAATTCCTCAACGATATTCGAATATGATTCGCTTCCAGAATTTTATGTCGATTTTCAAAGAATATGAGCATTTAGAATATGAGCATTTTACTATTATATCCCTTTGCTATAACTAAGCCAATGGAAAAGAAAACATTGCGTATTAACAAAGCCAATAATGAAGGCGAAAAGGAAGCGAGGATGGTGAGGCGAGCCGAATGTTGCGCAACCGTGCGCACTCAATATTTGAATGGTTGGTGCCCCCCTCTCGTTCGTTAGGGCGCATTTGGATGGATATATGGTGCCGTGATTTCGTTAAGCCAGACATATAATTACTAATTCTATCCACAAAAAAACCCACTCTCTTCTCATTTCGTTCCTTACACCACTCCATTAATGTTCTTTTCACATCATTTATTGGTCTACTATGGTAACTGTTATATGCAATGTTTTAAAGAAGCCTACCAGGTAGTACGGTAGCTTGTTGGCGTTTTCCTTGCAAACGCTAATATTGCACAATGGCGAAATTACATTACAACGTACCTACATATTGGAAGATTTTGTCTTTATGAGGTGCCGCTTCCTATCAAGCCAATAAATCTTGATTAAAGACGCTTTTGTAAATGCCGAAATCATACAGTAGGACTGATATTGAGAAGAAAAATAAGTAGCGTCACAACAAAACATATCTTATTATTGCAAATGATGTATTCATTAAGGCTACCAAGCGAATGGCTGATATCGAAGAACAACGCGATGGCTTGCGCAATCGGATTTCTGTTGTGTCGTTCATGCGGCTCCTTCGCGAATATCCAGGCACGGTTCGCCATATTGATTGATTCGGGTGTACGCGGGAGACAGGACGGAAAATCGAGGTGACAACGCGTAAAGAATATATGGGTAAGCAGAAGGGGGGGGGGGAGGAAGATCGGCCAACTAGTTTAAAATATAATTGGATATGCATAGTATTTTGGAATAATCTGTATCTTACCTTAATAAGGTTGTATTCGAAATACCAAAAATACTGCTATATTTTTATGGATATTAATAGATATATTCCGTAGAAAGTCGAGGTCCTTGAAAATTGAGAAATATATGTCAATCTGAAGCATGCCGAAATGCGTGATCAATATTATCCGATTTGTTGTAATAATGGGAAATTTTGAAGAAAAATCTGAAGGAAACCTCTTCAAGTTGTTTTGAAAGAAAAGCCCCACGGAATATTGATTTATGGGTCATTGCAGTAACAAAAAAAAGAGGGAAAATTTCGATACAGAAAAATAGAGAAAATATAGCCTGCAAAAAGCCTTTTTTTCTTTTTTATCCTCACCCGTTCGCATTTTTTTGTTCAATGCCTTGATCTCATAAAAAAAACTAACAAAATGGTTACATGATAAAGTTTTAAATAATTAGGGGCTCTTGGAGATTATAGTAAAAATATTTCCAAAAAAAAAACGAAAAATTTGAGGATTTAATTAGCATAAATTTCTAAAAAGAACGTAATAATCAAAAAATTATGTATGAAATGCTTTTCAAATGATTCTCTTATCAATTGAATAAAAAAAATATATCATAAGGATGACTAATCGAACAAAAGGCTTCATATTTTGACATTGTTTGCAGTCCACCTGCAAACCTACGCTTTTTTTCGAATGGCCGCCTGCAAATGGTTTTGTTTCATTGGTAAAAGAGACTAAAAACGCGTTAATTAATTCCACCTACATTTCAATTCAACTGCCTTGTGACAAAGGGACATAATCAATTCCGCCGAAAAAAATAGGCTCTGTTGGGCAATGCCTTTGTATGCAATTATGTTGGGAAGAAAATTGGGTTGCACTTTTGGTGGTTTGCCAATGTTGGACTCAAATAATTCAACTAATCCAAATATGGCATGAGAAACAATATGAAATTTTCCGCAAGCGGACATGTGGGTAGTGGCGAAATAAAGCAATAAAAAGCGAAGGAAACTGTGAGAGAAAACCGTTTGATAAAAAAAAAAGAGATGTGACGATGAGAAGGGAATGTTAAGAAATAAGCATTGGCCATATACATTCATGTTAATCAGATTAACGGGCGGTGGCAACGAGAGTTGCATATTTCGTTTTTTAACAAATTCTGGTGTCTTGGAGAGAAATTTTCAGTATTTTGTTATTGATAACTGATAAATTTTTGAATAAGTAATAAAGGAAGTAGTTACTTTCAATAAACAGAATAATTTCATAATTAAACATATTAAGAGAACGAAAATAGTAATAGATGATCAAACCTCGAAAAAATCCGCTCATATATCAAAAACCATTTATGAGGAGGAAAAGAATGAATAGTTGGAAATAAATAAATTTATTTCTGTTGTCGAATTACACTATTGTTTTTGTTATTAACAACCTCTACTGTTAAAAGATGAACAAAGAAAAAACATATTTTCCCGGCTTCGAAGAATTTCGCAGATGTTGGTTGGGATTTACATGAAAAATAGATGGTTCTGAAGTTTAAACATTTTACACAAATCGTCAATTTTTTTGTGTTTCGATGAAACTTCTGTAATATTGTTCGTTCTCCATCAAATTATAAACGTCAAAATAGTTTAACGCATTTTTTTGATAATATTTGTTTCATTTCATTATCTTTGACTTTAAACGGCTATATTGGCTTCATATCAGGGCTGTGCGGCAATGGATTTGCCGATTGCCGATTTTTCAAATTGCCGAATTGCCGAATTGCCGAAGAGAACGTTCGATCGGCAAATTGCCGAAATTTCCGATTGCCGCACAGCCCTGCTTCATATGTGTCAAATGTTAGTAAACTTTTTATTCAATTTTCAGCCGACGCGTAATGTTCCCCTACTGAGCGAGAGTGACTGACAAGTCGATGTTCAGTCGCTGAAATTTAACAATACTAGATAAATATATGTAGCTCCGAGTATTGAGATGGTAAGAAACAGTATTTATCTCATTTATCATTCTGTTTGAGATTACTCTATTTAGATTGAAAAAAAATATTTGAATTTTTTTTTCAAATAATTGAATTCGACCAAAGTTTCTCAACGTTGTTAAAAGATACAAATATTTTCATTCGAAATTTGAAAACGTAAATTGTCAGGTCAGTGTGAAGCGAAAATAATTTCAAGATAATAGCAATTTAAAACTTACTACTTACTTACATTTAGTCAGTCAATATAATATTAATTTAAATTATGAAAAAAAAAAAATTTCGAAAAGCTAATTTAACTGTTTTTTATTAGGATACTAAATGTTGCATGAATGCGCCAAATTTAGATTTACTACCTTCAACTCTTTTGTAAAAGCTGCCGAATCACTCTATTTCTCAGTTATTTTATCCGCGCAGGGCTCTTCAAAAAACAAGTTTTTCAAAATTACGCCATTTAAGCTCACAGAACTCACAAAAGCTGAGATAGGATATACATTTGTTATTAGCACTAGACCATAGAAAAACGAGAACTGTCGTCGAGAAGAACTGGCAGTGTAGTGTGACTTTTAAAGACGGGATGATATTGCTTGATCCTCTGGTTTTGACGGCCCAGATGAAAATGGAACGGACTTCAATCGCACTACTCTCGAGAAGGATTTTTCTACGGAAGTTTTTTTCTGTGATCTGAGCCGGTATTGCAGACATTCTTTTTAAGAAATTAGGCCCAATAACATTCATTTTTAAGCCTAACACTACCACTGAATTTAATCTAGATGATTATAGATCCCCCTTGCCCGCGGGGCACACGATGCACCGATTAGCTTGATTCGGTTCGAATTAGTTGATCTTCTTGTAGAGAGTCGATATATGTAGAAAAATCTCACCAGCTTCTGAACCAAAAATGAGTGGGTTATCGCCGATCCCACCGGCAACGCTACGACAGATTTTGGTTCCGGAAGACTTCTTTTTATTAGTATCGATTGGCTTGCTAGATACATTCACATTTTGGGGATCAGCAAATAAAACATAGCGGCAGCCAGTAAGAACTTCTCAAAGTGTAATCTTTTTATCAAAATTTTGCAAAAGATAAAGACTGTTGCCGTATTTTCAGCTTGTAAGTTGTAGAAAATAATTTGTCAGTTTCTGTCAGAATCGTATAATTTTTAGAGAGTGCGTTTTTAAAGTTCTAGGAAATCTAAGAAAATCCACTTTGAAAACTATTTGAATACCACAAATATACTGAAACTCAGCCATTTATTGTTGATTACCTGTCTGTGTCAGTTAAAAAAACTGTAATTCCGAGCAAAAGCGCAATATATTAGTTTGTTACGTTTAGTTGGCAAAATCACATAACTTCATTCACATTGAACACTTTTATTTATCAAAATAAAATAATGATATATTCCGGGAATATTCGACAATGAAATGACAATTCCGCCAAAATGGACCTTAGCTTATATTTCTTATTGGTGAGAATTGCAAATTAAAACTGGTGAAAAGAAAAATGGATAGGGGAGGGGGGAATTAAATTAAACAACAACTTGATATGTGAGAAGTCACAGATATCAAAATTAGGAGAGCAAGTTGGGGGAATAAGTTAATTAGAGACTTTGTACACTATCAGAATCATTACTATTATCATTCGCATTGTTTTCGGCCTCACGACGACGACGAGCTTCTCGGTATCTTGCCTTATCCTCCTCACTTATTTTATTATTCACATAGAACGATTCAAATACGAAGCGTTCAATTTCGCTAGAAGCTCCCTGCGAATTTGGGTTACGAACACCACTAAGAACGTCCTCAATAAGTTCTTCATCTTCTTGGATCGCCGGGTTAACTTCTCTTATTCGGCATAAGTCATTATCATAATCATTTTGCAAATGCCAGATCTTATGAGAGGTTCCAATTTGGGGCACGTGTCTTTCGCTGACTACATAAAGATTCGATCTTATATGACTCTTCATTGTTGAATCGTAACAAAATTTGTCATCCTAAAAATTCAAAACATTATTTTATTCCGTTTTAAATCTATAAAACTACTATAAATAACTCACATGACGTGCATCCGTTCTACATGTTAAGTATATCATAAACTCCTTTCTCGCAGCTATGTCAAAAGGCATTGCGACGCTTGTCTGAAAAGATGTCCATATCCAATTCCCTTCGCTCTAGAAATAAAATGGGATTATTTTTTAAGTATGATAGATTTAAACATACGTAGGTGCGAATGTTTTCGACTGCATTTGGTGGATCATTGAAAACCGTTCTGATATGAGGAAGCAAACGGTATATAGCGACATATTTACGCATTTTGAATTTAATTGTTATAAATGTACTATGATCGATAAGTGGTGGATGCGAACGATTCAATGTAGGGTCCATTTGCCTCATTTTAGAGATTACGCTCAAATTTCTACTGACTAGAAATACGGGACGTTGCGCTTGGGGCTCTGCTCTACTCTCGCTGGGACCTTCATTTGCATTCCTTTGTGTGGTATTAACTACCCTCGGGATGGTTTGGGTAGTTAAGACTGGATGGATGGTTGGGCTGTCAGCTGATGTTGTGGCAATTGTCCGAATAGCACTATTTGCTGCATCTAGGACTAGGCGAAAGATTGAACTGTCACATTGTCTAGCTGTTCTTGTGATAGTTGTCTGACTAGCGCTATTTGCTACATTTAGGACTGGGCGAGTGGTAGGTCTGTCACGTATTTCCGCTGGTGTCCTGACAAAAGTCTTGCTGCCACCATCTTCTACATTTCGGATTGTTCGAATAGGAGGCCTGCCACGTCTTTTTGCTGATGGCGTTGTGAGAGCTGTGGCGCTGGCACTATTTCCTACATAAGGAGTCGTGCGAATGGGAGTCCTGCCACGGGTTCTCATTGGCGTCGTGACAGCTGTGCTGCTGGCACTATTTCCTACAATAGGATTCGTGCGAATGGGAGGCCTGCCACGTCTTTTCGCTGATGTTGTGACAGTAGTCTGGCTGCCACTGTCATCTACATTTGGCAATGTGCACATGGGAGGCCTGCCACGCCTTTTTGCTGATGTCGTGACGATTGCTCTGCTGGCACTATTTGCGATATCCGATTCGGAGCTGATGGTAGACGTGACATGTCGATTTGTTGTCATGATTGTTGATCTGGCAGCATTGATTGCTAAGGCCCGAGCAGCCATCTTTCTACGAACTGCAGACCTGGTCTTCATTCGATGTGTCGAAGATCTGACACATCGAAATCTACGAGTGTGGCGAGCGCGCATTTTTTCTGAAAATATGTTTTATTGTTTTAAATTGGTGATGGACGAAAGTGAGGTAAATGAAGAAGGATTTCTAAGGTAGAAATTCACGTTTTTTTTTTTTAATTGTCTTTTTAGTTGCTAATAATTTTCTTGGTTTAATTCAGTAATTTTTTAGATGAGTAATCTTAAAAAAAATTTTTTTTGTTGTCTGAAAGTGAAAAGCTGAAATACGATTATGTACGAAATCAATGTTTCGTATTAGATCTCTAATTTCCATCTTAACTTTTTGTTGACACATTTATTTGTTTCAATTATTTAAAGATTTTTTTTAAGAAATCGTGGAAAAATGTAGGAAATTTAGGAAATTAGCTGAAGGGAATATTCGAGAATGACGCCGAATTCAACGACATTCCGGCTGTACGCTGGCAGACATGCGCCAATCAATATTTGCCGGCTGGCCGGATAATTTTAGGCGAGACCTCGGCCACGCGAGAGGCGAGTTCGAGAAACGCAAAAATTGCCCGATTTCTCTGGAATTTTTCTTTCAAAATTAGTATAAAACATCGAAGAGAATTTTAGGAGTTATTTCTAGACTCGATGACCAGTTAAACGCGGCAATTTCTCCGAAATTACTGATTTTGCCAAAAATGTTCGTAATTCTGACCGATGAAAGGACATTGCTCTCGGAGTACTGTATATGAATGCAATTACTATAAAAATTAAAAACGTTACTATAATGGACTATAATGTGATAATAAGCGACAATAGAATTCTACCTAAGAGCAAGGTCAAGAGCAATTAGGTTGAACGATTATGTACTCTCTTTTTTTTTCGTGCAAAATTACACAATTATTTAAAGTTAGACGGAGACTGTAATAAATAATAAAAAACAATATTGAAAAAAATCATATTACGGACCGGAACATCCGGTTGTACGCTGAATAAAATATATCAATCGACTGGCCGAAGATTTTGACCGAGACTTCGGCCACACAACGCCAGCAGCTGGAGATCACGAAATTTTCAAAATTTCTTCAGTAGTCATCTTTGAAGAATATTCATAAACATTTCCAGAATTTCCTATTGATGGTCAATTATTACGAGCAGCTGTAATTGGTGTCGATCTTTCAAACAATACAAAACTATTTTGCACCAAATTTTCTTCTAAAGAACTGTTTTTGTTTTCCAAAACCGAAATCATTAATAAATGAGCACGTAACAATAAAAGCTGCATTGAAATCTTAATTTGCAAATTTTATCAAACATCATTAATGAATATTTATTAACAGCCAAGACATGATCAAATAGAATAATTGAACCAAATTATAAGAAAATCATTCCATCAAGGGCATCGTGTTTACCGGTCTTTATCGATGACAACCGAATGTTGAATGAATCTACTTTATTCCTTCTAAAATATAAGTGTTTTACTCTTGCTCCCGCCAAAAAATTTACTTTTGGACGACTCGGCTTCCGAGAGCACGCATTTTTGCTTTTTTAGCTGCAACGTGAGCGTACATTAATGGAGCTGGCAGTGAGATCGTATTTGAGCAACTGGCATAATTGTAAGAAAGAGCATGTGTGATAGTCTGAAAATAACATAGTTTATTTGGTACTTCGAAGAATGGTATTACTGTACCTGCCAAAATGCATGGCTTGGTTTCCAATCGTCATAGAGCACGTAATAATGTGCAGGTTTTGAAGTTCCCAGCTTTCCCAGCTGCGAAACAAGGAAAAAGTCAAAGTACTTGTTGGATGTGATCACGTCTTCAACCAAAGTTCCTGGCTTCAGATTATCGACACTATAATTATGAAAATAACTTTAAACTAATTTTTTTCAGCCTGAGCTCACCTTCCTGATGTGTCCTCTTCTTTAGTCGCAAAGAAACGCGTGTGATGCCTTTTATTGACCATGATGTATGTTATTGTCGGATTGAGAGCTTTGTAGTATGGACGTAGCTGCCGGATGGCTGCGTCAAGAGCTTCCTGAACATTAACAATTCAATTACTGCCAGAGTTAAACCAACTTTTTCTTCAGAAAAAATCTTCTCGAACATGCTCTCTGATACTCCATCTCGATAGATGACAATATGGGACATGATCTTTTCAGAATGCTGAAATCAGATTCGGTTAAAGTAGCATTTTGAATGTGATCTCATTACATTAATGAAATCTAGAATTCTCATCTTCATTTCATCGACCATGTCCACAACCATTTCTTCCTCAGGGAACTGAACACGTGATGAATCCCGGAACCTGAATTTTTCGACAGTTTGATGCTCTTAGTGGAATCTTTTTCTTACTGGGATATCTCAATATCGACATTCGAAACAATTGTGGCAATCGATAAAGAATCGAGCGATTCCTTGTTTAGACGCTCTTCCGCTGAAGGATGACTTATGTCTATGCCCATTACCATAGTTGGAGAAGAAGGATCTGTCAACCTTGTCCAACTAAAATCTGATGTATTTCATGTAATTTCAAATTGCAACAAACTTTTTATGGCTTCCACCGTGCTCCAGAACATATTGAACTGCGCCTACTTTTGCCAACATCTTTCGCACCAAATTATTTATGGTTCCATTTTGGGACACATCGTCTAAAGTTCTATAGGTCTCATATAAAATTCCTTGATTGTATATTCCAATTTCGCAGTCACAAAGTGATTTGATTATTGCTGAAAATCACATGATTTTCCAGCAAATTTTGCATCTTTCATTTACCATAATCTGGGGCAAATTTATCCCGTAGCGAATTATAATTTGTTGTTTTATTTGCGTAGATGCACAGAAGAAATGGTACCCCAATTTTGTCCTCAGTCACCATCTCAGCAACTTTTTCGCGGAAGAACATTAAGAACGAAACAAGATGAGCCAGCGGTTGGGTCGCCTGATTGAAAGTTGTCGACTGAAAAAAATGCGTAGCGAAATAGAACTAAATCGCATACACAAAGAATATTTGGCTCCCCATTTGTATAATACACCGGTTGTCCATATTCATTGATTTTGTTGAGCAACAGCTTCGCCTGTTCCCTACAAATCAAGCTTGGATTAATACGCGGTGAAATAATCAACAACTTACCGGGGCAAATTTGTGTCATGCACAACATTTACAGATGAGTATGGATCTTGAATGACAAGTATTGCTGGGACAATTGTCTTCGTCTTTTTCCCTTGAGTTGCAACCACTTTTACTTTACGAACAGGCTGCTCAGGACCAGTACCCCATTCTCCGCGATAACTTCCATCATAAAAACGGCTATTTCCCTGAAACCAAAAACGATTTTCTTGAACGATGACTATTATTTATTAATCCTACGAAAATTAAGGCCGGAACTGGGAGAATTGTTGCTTTGGCGGTAAGAAATTTCTTCTCGATTTCTGTAGAGAAATTCGTCATCCACTGATCAGTATTATCAATAAACGGTGGAAAGCTTCCGGCTTTTGGAATGTCTAGAAGTAATTGCTCAGTACTAGCTGATGGTCCCTCAGCACTCGCTGATAGTCCAACATAACAACCCGACGAAGGGCTCTCGTCATTCCCATTGAATTCTTTCCTTTTTTCTTTTTCGACCAAAATTCTATTTCTTATTTCCATCGCCACTCTCCTATCCTTGGAAGCTTGCGTCTCTTTCTTTTTAATTTTCTCGATGACACATTCCTTGTTCGTCATTTCCCGAATAAGCATCAAACGCTTTTGTGGAGGCAAAGCAGCATTCTGGAAATAAAATACAACAATGAGCTAATACTAAATTTTGATTTTATTTACATCAATATAGGCAACTTTCTGTTTTTCGGTGAGCGGTCGATTGAACTTCTTAATATCCTCCGTGGTTGTCAGAAACTCCATTGGATAAGTTGGTTTAATAGGACCTCTTGAACTTGAACTGGCTGGCTATAAAATTTATTGGAGAAAATGGAAATGCGAGAATTCAAAACAGACCACGACACATGGTAAATTTGGATATTTCAATTTCAGTCCGATCGATTCGAAATAGTCAGCGATGGACACCCGTTGGTTGTCTTCATTGACAAAAAATAAAGTACTTGCTGTTTCATCCGTAAGCATGCCAAACTTAATTGTCTTTTTCCGATAAGTTAGCCTTAATTTCCTTCCTAAAAAATTTAATGTATCTAAGTAAAAACTAGCTACAATACCTTCAAGAATATACGTCAGATTTTTCCTATTTTTTTCACTCATCTCGTATTTATGAAGGTTTTCCATCATTCCCGGTATCAAATTTGTATGTTGCCCACATGCATACTCAACGATGAGATTGATAATCGGATAGCCCGAGCAAAAAAACGCTGATGATACAACTAAAGTGACGCCAAGTTTTTTTGGTTCAAAAAGATATACAACATACGGTCAACATTGGCGAGAATTCCTCCACGGAGATTCGGCCTCACGGCGAAGTGCATCCCTCTCCAACCTTCAACGCTATCACCGACGTAAAACTGCATCGGAATAGAAAATTCATTTTTCTGCAAACATCCAGCAACGATGAAAGTATTTTTACCATTTGTATAGAAATGCGAGGCATCTTCTCTGAAATTGGTGAATTCCGAATGTTAGATACAAAGAAAGATTTACTTTAAGCTGCATCGGTTTCTTGCGGTAACAATTAGATCGATCAATTGCAACATCTTCTCTTCATCGCTTTGAAATTTCGGAGATACAGTGAATTTTGCAGCGGTAAGATATGTCAATGTAACGACTCCAATTCGCATTTTCATTTCATTATACACAGAATAACAAGTCTTATAGTCATTTGCTTTGGTTCGCCTTTTTGTCCTGAAGAATTAAAAAAAATAATGAAACAACTTTTCTTTTAATTTCCTTACCAGAGCATATTACTGTCGTTGAATAGCATATCCTCGTATGGTGGAAATACGTCTGGATACTGTTCAACGCATTTCCAGAACATTAGTGAAATGTGTTGTCTAAAATTATAATACATATAAGTAGAAAAGGATTGGTTATTTAATGCAAAAATACCTTTTTTTGAGCAGGTTTTCTCCAGTTTTCCCAATTTTTGTAACTGTGACATTATAAATATTGAGAAAAATGTCGGTCGGCGGCGGGTAGACCTAAAAATTGACATGTCTTAAATTAACAACGAACTCATACTCGAAGGTAATTTGTTTGAACAATCGTTTTCGTTCCGAGAGTGGTGTCTTGTATCATTTTATCTGGTCTTGTGCAAAAAATTGATTTCACATTCTGAAAATCGGATGAAACTAAAGTAAGTTTTGTCGACTCTTACCAGCGTACATTCCACATTTTTAGTCGATATTGAATCGTCTAATAAACATTCTTCCATTTTTTTGCTGAGGTCTTTGTCTGTTAATAGATTATGTTCTACTTCTTCTTCAGGTGACGTCCTGGAACAACTTTCACTCGAATTGTCTGTGCGCTCTTCACCACAATTGGATTGCGGGGCTCCTTGGAAAATATGATGACTTCTACGGTTAGTGCGAAAAGTGGGACTACCATCTTGATGCATTCCATCGTATTCACGGTCTTCACAGGGTTCATCGCAGAAGCTATCAGTTGCGTCCTCATCATGAAAGCTTCTAGATCGAAAGCGGAAGGTATTTTCTTCTTCTTCTAACGCAGATTCTGTGGCGTCGTGGTTACGACGGATAATGGATTCTTCTTCCTCATGAGAACCATGATGGGATTGACGTTCGCGACCGCGAAGAGGCGAATTAAAGGTATGTTGACGATAAGATTGTGCCTCGTATCCTCCTCGGTGACAACTATATTGGAATTCAGATCCTCTCTGACGATGGCGTTGCAAATCGGACCTTGGATATTGGAATCTACGCTGACCTTGAGTTCGGCGATCTCGTTCTTCCTCTATGGGCACACCAGATTCAATGCGACTGATCGAACCGGTATAATCGGCTCTTGATTCCATTTCATTATCTTGGCAATGACGATAAGATGAGCTTGGTAAACTTTCGTAGAAATTGTATGTGTCAAAATCAGGTGGTGAATCATTATATGGAGAAGACGCCGATGCGTCACTCAACTCATCCCTAAATTCCCGATCACTTTCATGGTCCTGAAGATAATCTTCAAGTGAATCGCGAGATTCATTACTGCGAGCTGACAGATCATCATTATCCGTTCTTGATTCGGCATCATCACTGCGTGAAGGACAATGTGAAAAACCGCGTCCATGCATAATTGGCTCACGAGAAGGACCGTGTGCCCGTGAGACATTTGATTGCCCTCGACAAGGATGATAAGGGAAGTTGGGAAATCTACGATTTATCGACGAGCTCGCATTTCTTCTGACGTCTGCATCACGATTGCGTTGCGGACTCTCGTTACTGTCCATGCTCTGAAAATGAAAACGTACTGCAACATGTTTGAATTAATGAAAACAAAATTTTAGACCGACATTTGCTGCGCGTAGAAAACGGAAATGGGTATGAGAAAATAAGTAGCCAAACAACAATACATATTTTTCGACAGTCGGCGAGGGTACCGTTAGAACAGAGAATGGAAACCAGAAAATCGTCCATACACTTCAATATTAAACAATGTGTATACTTCACATAAAGAAAATGTGACAGCTGTTCTTAAATAAATAACAAATGTTGTTAGCATGATTAAACAATCATTCAAAACAAAAAATGATGACTATTATGCTACACATTCGAAAAATTTCATTTTTCTTAATACTTGTGATTTAGCAACCGTTGATTTCTGGCAAAAAAAGAATAAAATCATATAAATAATAAATAATGTGAGAGATTTTATTAATAGAAAGATAACAATGGTAGCTGATGAGCCAAAAATCATTTATTGAAAAATGGACGCCGCTGCTCCTTCTTTGCGTCTCTCAATGTACCATTATATTTTTCACTTACCATAATGCTGAGTAATTAGGTCAGCGCTGTTTCTTTTTTTTTTTTTTTTTGAAAAATCAATATTTACATATAAAAGAAAAGCAGGGGCAAAATTTGAGAAGAAGGAAGATCTGCTTTTATAAAAAAATTAATCTTAAACATCCTAGATTTGGGGGTGGCCTAGATTTTTTTGAAGTGCGGACTAACTTTTGAAACAAAAAGTAAAATGCCAATAGATTAAAGAAAATGCACCATTGCAGAAACATAATTTGTCCGGGGGAAAATGATTCAAAATGACGTCGAAAAAAAATGTTCAGAGCGATTTTTTTAATATTAATATTTGACGATTTCCAATCGTTATTTATTTATACGGCTGGAATATTAGCAAAATTTCCTTCTATGTTTAGATTCTGAAATTTAAAAACCCAAACCTTGCTTGTGTCTGAAATAGTTTCAGCGCAAACTCATTACATAAATTCATTATGCATTGCAAAACCCATAAATATTTATTTTAACTAATGTTTCGTTAATTCAATAAAAGTATGCAGAAAATACAAAATTATAAGAAAATCATTCCATCGATGGAGTCATGTTTGTCGGTTTTTGAAGTAGACCATGTAATGTTGAACGAGTTCACGTTATCTCTTCTGAAATAATATTTTGATCATTCTATACCTCAAAAAATAATAGTACTGATTAATGATTCTGCCTCCGAGTGATCGGCATCTCGCTTTTTCAGCGGCAATATTAGCGTACATCAATGGAGCTGGTAGTGAGATGGCATTCGTACAACTGATGAAATTGTAGGAAAGTGCATGTGTGATAGTCTGCAACAGGACCGTTTACATGACACTCCGAAGGTAGATATTTGTCTACCTGCCAAAACGAATGACTTGGCTTCCAATCATCATAGAGCACGTAATAATGCACAGGCTTCGAAGTTTCCAGTGTTCCCATCTGGGAGATCAAGAAAAAGTCAAAGTACTTGCTCGAAGTGATCACATCTTCAACCAATGTTCCTGGCTTCATATATCGATATCTTAAATTTTTCAATTAGAAACGCAAAATTATTTGTTTCAGCGCACTGTTCCGAGGTTTCATCTTTTGTTGCAAACAAATGTGTACGATTCTTTTTATTAGCCACTATGTACGTTATGGTCGGATTAAAAGTCTTGTGACGTTGGCGGAGTTCAACTATTGCTGCATCAAGGGCAGCCTAGAAATCCAATTGAGAATTTAAGCTAATTGAATTGCATTCAACAAACTTTTTCTTTTTCAAGGACCTCCGAGAACTGATTTTCCGAAACTCCTTCTCGATAGATTACGATATGAGACATTAGAACAATCGAGTGCTGAAATGAAATTTTTTTTCATTGAAATTTGTAAACAATACTGTTACTTTCACGAATTCATTAATTCGAATCTTAAACTCCTTAGTCATGTCAGCAATCGTTCTCTCGCCAGATAACTGAACTCGAGATGTGTCCCGGAACCTTAAAAGTTTAAAACTTGATTAATCCACGGGCGTATCGTTTTCTTACTGGGATATCTCGACATCAATATTTGAAACTATCGTAGCAACCGATAGAGAATCTAGCGACTGCGGATTTCGACACTCTACCGCTGAAGGATGGCTCATACCTATTCCGACTACCATAGTCGGAGACGTTGGATCTGTCAGCTTTGCCCAACTGAAATGTTAAACCATATTATTTTTTCCAAATTGGAAATTCATGATACTCACTTTTCATGGCTTCCACCGCGTTCCAAAATAAACGGAACGGCTCCAATTTTTGCCAATATTATAAGTGCCAAATTATTCAGAGCTCTTTTTTGAAACTCATTGGCAAGTTTTTCATATTTTTCGTAGAAAATTCTCTGGTTGTAGATCCCAATTTCGCAATCGCACAGCGATTTTAAAATTGCTGAAAATTATACAATTTTCCAGAAATAATTTCATCGTTTTCTTACCATAGTCGGGAGCAAATTTATCGCGCGGTGATTTGTAAGTTTTTCCATGGTATGTGAAGATGCAGAGTAGGAACGGCACACCAACTTCATTCTCAGTTGTAATCTCAACAGCTTTTTCGCGGAATTCTTTTAAAAACTGCTCAAGTTCGGAAATCTTTTGAGTTGCCTGATTGAAAGTTTTTGACTTGAAAAAAATAAACATTGGCTAATCAAGTGAAGATTTAACACATACACAAATGAATTGAGGCTCTCCGTTCTTATAATACACTGGTTGTCCATACTCATTGATTGTATTGAGAAGCAGTTTTGCTGGCGCCCTACAAAAAACAAATTTCTATTTATTGCAATCAAATTGAAACAATGAACCTGTTTATATCTTGATCATCCACAATGTGTGTCGTTGAGTTTGGATCATGAAATACTAGAATTCCTGGGACAAGCATCTTCGTTTTTTCCTCTTGAGTTGCAACCACTTTGATTTTACGAACACTCTGCTCAAGACCGGTACCCCATCCTCCACGATTACAGTCGTCATAAAAACTACTATTTCCCTGAAAACGAAATTTTTACTGTGAAAATAATAGATTAATCCTACGAATATCAACGTCGGGACCGGAAGGATTGTTGCTCTGACAGTTAGAAATTTCTTCTCTATTGCAGTAGAGAAATTCGTCATCCATTGATCTTTGTTGTCAATGAACCTCGGAAAACTTTCTCTGGATTGGTCTGAGAGTTCAGCTGGCCGCGAAAGACAAATATCAGTTGGTTCATCTTCGTCAATATCCATATCAATCTCATCATAATTATCAGTGTCAGGATATGGCAACGCGGTGCTGGTTGATGGACCGTCGCTGTCTTGTAAATATCTGATCGCGCTCGTAGACGGACCCTCAAAGTCCGGTGAATGTTGTTTAATAATCGTTGATGATCTCTCGGACAACGTAGATGGTCCTTCAACACTCCTAGATGTGTCCAAATTGTCGCGTCTCTCAGCTTCACTAATTGATTCCCAACAATTCGAAGAAGATTTTACAATTGCTGTAGATGGTCCTTCATTATCCGTGGAAGGTTGCTCTGCGCGACTTTCGTCGTTAACTGCGGATTCGTTCGTCATCTCGATTTGAGCCAAAATTTTTTTCTTCATTTCCATAACAATTTGTTGTTTTTTAGAAGATTTTGTCTCTTTTTCTTTGGTTTTTTCGTATGCGTGTTCAGGGTCAATCATTTCCTCTAGAAGAGCCAAACGCATATGTGGAGGTAACATCGAATTCTAGGAAAAAAAATAACAAAACAATAATAATGCGAGTGTGTTTTTTTTTCATACTTGAGTGAAACACGCCTCCTGGCGGTCGGTTAACGGCTCTTTGAACTTTGCAATCCTCGCTGACGTTGTGACATATTCAATTGGATAGGCGAGTTTATTATCATTATTCGAACTAGCCGGCTAAAAAAAGCAAAATTGTTTAAAAAAATTGGAGCAATTGAAACGAACAAAAATGCATGGTAGATTCGGATATTTCACCGGATTTCCGTCCGACTCAAACAGTTCTGCGACAGAAATGCGTCTGTTATCGCCTACAGTAATGAATGTTCGATTGGCTGGCGAATCAGTGAGTTCTCCAAACGTAAAGGGATGGTTCTCATAAGTAAGCTTTAATTGTCTTCCTAAAATTATTCAGAATTTAAATTTCAATGAAAAACTGATATGTTACCCTTGAGAGTGCGTCGCATATTTTCCGAACTCAATGCATTTAGTCCGTTTTTATAAAGTGCCCTTATCGCTTGTGGTGCCAAATTATCGCAACGACCGTATGCAAACTCCAAGATAAGTCGCAGTAGAGAATATTGAGAACAACAAAATGTTGAAATTGTGACTTAAGCGTTTTTTTCGTCTATTTTCAATTTTAAGATGTAATTCTTACGATCAACATTGGCCAAGGTTCCACCACGAAGATTGGGCTTTGCCGAAAAATGCATTCCTCTCGATGCTTCAACGCCACCTCCAACATAAAAGACCATCGGAATAGAGAAAATGTTTGCTGTGTGATTTCCATCGATCAGATATGTATTTTTATCTTGGTTGTAGAAGTATGAAGAATCCTTCCTGCATAACAGATATCACATTTTGGATATGAAAAAAAAAATAGCATACGTTAGATGACAACGATTTCTGGCAGTAACAATGAGATCAATTAATTGCGCCATCTCATGCTCTTCATCTTGCATTTGCCAATCACTGGAATAGTTTGCAATGCCAACAAAAGACAAAGTCACAGCTCCAATTTTCATATACTTTTCATCGTATATATTACATTGAGTTTCATAGTCCTTTTCTTGTATTTGCGTTTTTGACCTAAACATTTTTAAAGTTGTACAGAAGTCCGAATTTCATTACCATAACAAATCTTTGTCGTTGAAAATCATGTTCTCATACGGCGGAAAAACGTTTGCATTCTGTTCGACACATTTCCAGAACATTGAAGCTATCTCGTTACTGAAATTACAGAATTTGAGATCACTTCGAATTATTTGATTATGAAATTACGTTATTGTCAAAGTCTTGGTCTCATTTTTCTCAAAACGAACAACTACGACTTTGTAGACATTGAGTACAATCGGTTCAAATGACGGGTGGACGCGAATATAATTTGTTTGAACAATCGTTTTCTTTCCGAGTTCAGTATCCTGGATCATCTTCTCGGGTCTTCTGCAAAATTCGATTTTCGCCTGAAAATCTGTTGTCACTAAACACTCTTCAATCGAATTTTACCTTCTCAACTTCCACTCTTTGATTTGCATTGTCGCTTTGTGATTGTCTGCCATATTTACCAAATTCGCGGGCAGCGCGAAATTCATCATCGGAATCGTAACGTGAAGATTCACGAGCACCGTACGAATCTTCATCATAATTCGGAGATTCCACTCGTCTATCGTATTGATGAGTAGTCGATTGTTGACGAGAGCCACGATTTGATGGAGCTACTCCATGGAAATTGGGACGGCTTCCGCGATGCTGGCGAACGGTCGGACCGCCTCGTCTCGTTTGTCCGTATTCTCCACGTCCACGAACAATATTATTTGATTCATTATGAAAATTATCTCTTGGGTACTCCTCTTGAAATCTCCTGCTGCTCGATTCTTCTTCCTTATGCGAACCACGATGAACACCACGTCCACGTCCACGACCGCGAAGATGTGGACGATATGAACCAGTTGGTGCATATTCCGATTGCCCGTTGTGCATAATTCCTGATCCTCGTCGGCGGTAGGCTTGCGAATCGGATTCTGAATGTTGGTATCTTCCTTGGTCATGAGCCCGATAATGTCGATATTCTTCAAGCGACTCGCTAGATTCAAAACGGCGCAACGAATCGTTAGCATCAGAAATTCTTGGATCCATGTCATCATAATGATACCCAGAATAGGTTGAATTTTGATCATCTTCGTACGAACGGTATGAACGGTAATCATAATCGCGTGGCGGACCGTGATAAAAATTTTGTGAGCATCGGTGATGATTCCTTGGTCTATATCTGTTTTGGTCACAATCACAACTACAACGATCGTCTTCAAAAAATTCGGGAGAATCCAATCGATGGGCTGGAACGACATCTTCATAATCATGATAATGTCGATGTGGTATTCTGTAATGATGACATCCGTGAGTGTGACGTAGTTCATTGGGACATGTGCGATCGTCATAAAAGTGTGATGGACCATGATGAGCTGATCCTCTGATGTGACTCTGTCTCATCCCGCTGCCCATTCGGTCATATCGATCGTCCTCATACGGGTATCGAGAATTCTCAAAAGACTCGCGAGAGTCAGTGTGGTGAATTGGCAGATACGGAGGATTGCGTTCATAATTACTACGACGTGGCTGATCGAAGTTGTTGTGACGATAAGGACGAGAACCAAATCCGCGTGCGGGCTCATGATAAGCAACACCCGATTCAATTCGACGACGATCGTGTTGGTTGTCCGCATCCCGTCGATAATTATTCTGACGGAAGTCTCTATCATCGCGTCGACAAAATTCTTGTCGCAATGCACTTACTCCCCGTCTTTCGTCAGCTTCACGATGACGTCGAAAGTTGTCGCTTCTGTCCATATTCTGAAAAAAATAAATGGGCCGTGGACTTAGAGCAGTAATATAGCAAATGAAGTTGATGACAGTTATGGCACACGGAACTGATAACAGAGATGGTCGAACGATAACGAGTGTGTTGTCCAAATATTCTTTTCTTTTTTGAATCCTCATTTTTTACATTTTAAAATGTTCAAAGGTAAAATATTCAATAGGTCGAAACAAAAGTAACCCGACACACAAAATTGAGAGCGATTTTTAATCGAAGTGACGTTTTGGTCGTTTTTAAAAATTTTGTGACGAATTGCGGAAGTTTTTGAGAACTTCTGTGGAACCCAAATGTTTAAACCAAAACCAACTATTCGTTTCAAATCGCTGTCTCTCACTCTTTCATTCAAACACATGGATTTTTATCAATGGAGCAGCATTGTTACCAACCTCCAAATTTTATTTGAAAAATAAACTTTAAAAGAAATGAAAAATGTAATGGTCAAAAGGAAATTTTAAAATGATAAGAAATCTGTGAATCTTGAAAATATTCACCTTTTCACATAGAATAATAAAAACGTATTTCATTTAATTCGTGTTGTATTGAAATTTCGAAGTAAAACTTGTTGGCTCTATTTTCCTTCTTTTAAATATTAAGAGTCTCGTTTTAATTTTTCTCAATTTAGTTTGACAATTAAAAATGATGTCGTCGGATAATTTTTTGGATTCAAATAATTGGCAAATTTCATCCTTTCAAAAAATGCCGCTAGATCCTATTCGGAATAATTTAGAGTGTGCTCTCGATTTTAATAAATTAGTTGAATATTTTTAAGTTATTCAGTGCAATATGTTATGGAAAAACTTTGAAATTTTTCAAAAGAAATTCGAAAAATTAGGAATTAAAAAAAACACAGCCGTGATTAACATTGGATGTAAAAAAAAATACATGTACAAGACGATTACAGTGTTAGACTGCTGAAAAAAAAGGAAAATTTTATTAATTCAAATAATTTTTTTTCAAAAAATTTTAACAGAAAGCATAAAAAATTTCAAATTTCAAGCACAATTCGAAAAGTTTTTGTCGACAAAAATTTATTGTGTATATTTCCAATAACATTTCATGTTATTTCGAGAGTTTTTTTTCATACCATCTAGTTTCTGAACCATGCCAGAAACACAACCAAGATCGCAATGACATTGAGGAAAGAAAAGGGATATTTTTGGCAGGGAGGACATGTGCGCACTGCGCGCTCAGAATAATTATCATTGGCTAATAATGGGATGACTTTTTTTCTAAATAATTTGAAAAAGAAACGAAAGCATTGAAAGCCAATTCGATTTAGCTAAATAAAATTCAACTAAATTTAACATATTATTCTATTTTAACTAAATTGTCAATTTAACTAATTTAAAACGAACTTTTTTCAAATCTTATTCTGAATCGCATTATGAGAAAAAAAAATAGATTTAGATTAAAGCGACGTTTCAAATAGATATTTTTGATAGTTTGTTTTGTTCAAAATAATATTCTTTTTAGTTGAGTTGAGAATTTAGTTAAAACGTAATTCTATTTTAATTTAGTTAATTTTTTTAAATTTACTCCAAAATTCTATAACTGAAAGCGAAATATAGAGATATATCGAGAGAAACATTTGCCAGTGGAACTATATTTAAATATTATATTGACAGTTTTTTTGTGATTGCTTTACCAAGACTGACCAATAATCAATATTTACCCCTATTATATGAAAAGTATTGCAAAATAACGTCACTTTTTTTTCAAGTCTTTATGTATTATCGAAGATTTCTAAAATCATTGGTGATTTGACTGGGATGTTTTGCGGAATAACGCTGAATCGGTGATAAATGAATTCTATTCAAAAAAATTAGATATTAACGAAAAAGTTCGACAAAACGAGGCGCTTAAGCGGAGGGCGCAGGCATGGAGGCAGTGAAGTGGCAGAAAGCGAGAGAATGTATGTGGTGATAGTTTATTTTGCAACAAGAAATATTATGCAGTTTTGGAGCTGAAACATTTTATTTTTTCTCTGAATGGATTGCTCTCCTTCGGCTCTACTATTTTCTATTATGTGCAAATACTCAAAATAGTTGGAGATGTTGTAATGGGATCATGTACCATACACAAGCGGATTCGAACTACCACAATTGCTACTGAAGCAAAAACAATAAAGTCTTGAAATATTGCTTGCAAACGTTTGTTTATTTTGCTAATTAATGTTATTAACAATTTTCATTATCGGCAGATCATAACAAATGATTATCGCAATAAAGGGCGCAATACTTAAATGACAAATAAAGGCGATTAAGTTTCGGGTCCCGTAAACATATTAAAAAGCTTAATTGTCTATTTAAGGCAATCTTTTTTTTAGGTATTCGGTTCTAGTCGCTGACTAGAATCACTTCATTGGTATTTGCAAACAAATCAGAGATGCTTTAGAGTTTTGTTTCAAACAATTGTTTCTTTGTGTTCTCTCTGAAAGTGGCGATTTTCCGGAGATGAAGATCTGAAGAAAAATAAGATATGATTGATTTAAGCAATTTCGATGGCACCTTTCATCAATACAGATATTTGAATAAATGGGGTAACGATTATAATACGAATCTTCGCAAATCGCACTGTCACGAGATCTAAATCCATCAGATATATAAAAAAAAGAAACATTCAAAAAAAGTGAATACCTTGTCATAATTGAACGTGGATTAAAGTCGAAATACGTGTACTGGACTTTATTGTTAATATTGTAGTAAATAGCATTTTTTCCTGCAACTTATATAGAATTATAATCATTAAATACATTCATAAATTAAAAGTGCGCCTGACATTGTTAGTGAATACTGTATACTTGGCTAAAGCATGTTGAACGTGTGCGTTGAAACGTCACATAGTTTGAAATTAAACATAGAAGCAACAGAAAAATTTTTAGATTTTACAATTACACGTACAAACTTTTCTATTGATAATAATATTGTTTTGTGAACTGTTTCAGCTTTTCGTCATCTCCTAAACCAATAAAGGGAAAAAACACGGTAGTTCGGATTGTATTATGATATGTTAACCAACCTAGACATGTCGTATTTACGGAATTTAAATTGTTGTTTGAAGTGCGCTCATATGATGGCCAAGCAGGTGATCCGATAGCAGAATCCAATGAGGGATTTGTTATACCACCAATTTGGATAAGATTGTCTGGCTTGACATAACCTGGGAGCAATCCTCTTGACAAATTTTCACCACTTGGATCTGAATGGAAAATATTTTCCAATGAATAGAGCATCTACGGATTAAAACGTTTTGGATTATTTTTGTCATTACAGTAGAAATGATAAAGGTCTCCATTGTGCGAAACAGCTTCATCCATATCGTCATCGCAAATATCGTGTTGCGGCTGGAAAATGCATTTTTTCAATTTTAAAGTCATTATAAATGCTGAACCAATGAAGGCAAGTTGACAGGTGCAGAAAGCGGGCGATGCTTTCGCTTCTTCACAAAGTTCATCAGCGAGTTCGCCGGAGACACCGTTGCCGATTTCGATTCCAAACGATCCGCAATTTCGCCGTCATCTACCGACTGCACCAACATCCAATCAAGATAGTCAACAATTGTTGAAAATGACGGCCGATTTTCCCGTTTTTCTTGCCAACAAGCCACCATAATATTATATACTTCATCCGGACAGTTATGCGGCGCTTCCATTCTGAAAATTTTCAATTTTCATGAACTTTTACAATTATTGCTAACCTGTATCCTTCCTTCAAAGTTGAATATAATTCAGGCATCGCAATAGTTGGATACGGGGTTCCTCCGAGAGTCATAATTTCCCATAGAAGAATGCCAAATGACCAGCTATAAAATGTGACAATACACCGGAAATGCGTAAAATTCTTACACATCGCTTTCAATGGTGTACATATGCGAGTCCAATGCCTCCAATGCCATCCATTTGATAGGCAATCGTCCATTTCCACGTTTTCTGAACAAAAAAGGATCAGCGAATGATTCAAATTCTCAAATATAGTACCGGTAATAATCATTACAATGCACATCACGAGAAAGTCCAAAATCTGAAATTTTAAGTATGTGATTGTCGGCAACCAACACGTTTCTCGCAGCAAGGTCGCGATGAATTATCTAAAGAATGTAATGAATTGATTTTTTGATCATTAGTTAGTACCTTCTTTTTTGCCATGAAATCCATTCCCTTGGCGACTTGCCAAGCGAAACCAACCAAATGTCGTTGAGTGAGATTTGGAATTAAATCCTAAAAATTTCAGAAGAATCTTATATCAAACCGCATTTGATTATTACAATCTCCTCTTTGTCGGATATCTTTCGCGGCTCGAGGTAGTCCTCCAAATCCTGACTCGATTTCTTGCTCGACTTTTCTTCTTTTGGACGATGAGCGCGAAGAAAATCGCGCAAGTTGCCATGACGGCAGAGCTCGAGAACGACATATAGAGGTCCAGAGCCGGTGCAGCAGCCAATCAAACGTAGCAAATTTTCATGTTTTCCGATAATCTTAAAAAAATGACTGTTCATTTATATTCTTTTAATATGTCATTACCTTGAACGTTTCCATCTCACTAACCAAATCAATAAGCTCTTTCTCATGAGCCGACATTTTCAATCTTTTAACAGCTACAGGAATTTCTTCACCTTTCTCTCCTGCCAATTGCGCTTTCCAAACTTCTCCAAATGCTCCTTCGCCGAGCATATGAATCAATTTCAATCTTTCCCGTTTAATTTCCCAATTTGGATCGGAATCAACTTCATATTCAGGAAGTACATTATCAGCGTTATCTCCATTTTCTGCTTGTTGCCGTTTCCGTTTCCCAGCCTCTTTTGGACTAATTGCTTGTTCGATAATCTAAACAAATCATTTTTGACAACGCAAATCTTTTATTTCATTACCTGAATTTGGTATGTCGGAATATCAGCTCCGTCATTCTCATCCGGTGGCTTTTTATTAACAACCACCTATAAAATACTTGACATTTCACAAGGACTTGTTTGATATGTGTTACCCGCTTCTTTTTCGGAACTAAACCAACGGTGTCATCCATCATTTCCTTCTTTTTGATTTTATAGCGATAAAAGATTGAAAAGAAGCAAATAATGAATAAGAGAACCGAGGCTAGCGAGATAGCGAAGAATGTCATGATTGTCGACTCCAACTTTTTTGTACTTGGATCATCCCCAGTGAGCAAACGAATTGAAACAAAATCATTCACTGTTAGAGTAGCATTTTCAATCGTCTAAAAGCACGTCCTAATTGTTTGATTTTCAATTACCCATTAAGGCGAATACATAAACTTTTCATCACCGATTTGATTGCTAATAAAAAAATTCTTCAAAGTGCAAGACCACCTAGGTGGTTGATAACACACCGGAAAAGGAAATTGTTCGTTACTCACCATTCCAAGCGAATTTCCACTAATACACGCATAAACGCCTTGATCGTCCAATGTTACATTTCGCAATGTCAAGGTGGACTCCTCGCCAGAATGATGAACATGAGCGTTCTGCAACAAAAAAATATGAACCACAGTAATTGAATGGCATCTCACATCCATTGCATCCATCTCAGTATAGCTGAACATATGTTCTCCAGCAGTATCATTGTAATAGTGGTACGAGCCGTTGACTTTATTAATTCTCACCCACATGATATGAGGGACTAGATCAGACATAACCTTGCAATTAAAAGTTGCTGTATCATTCACATTAACCTAAAAAAAATGTCAAAATATTTCTTTGAACGTCTAATCGTATTACCGTGAGATTTTTCAAAACATTTGGAAGAATTATTGGAGGTCTTCGCATGCGATTAACAACGATTACGTGAAAGAATTTGGTGGCAGTTCCCAAAAAATTGTAGGCTTCGCAACGATATGTGCCTGCATCGGACTCAACCGAATCCTCAAGCTCTAATGTGAATCGCTTAAACTTGAAACTGTAACCACCATTTCTCGAGCTTCTTCTAGTCAGCCTCTCATTATCTTTGTACCAGACAATCTAAAAGATATTAGTGGATGATGTATCAAAGGATTTTGTAAATCTACCCTGGGCTCAGGATTTCCATAAACGCGACAATTGAGTTTAAGGGTTCTTCCTGCTGGAAGTCCATGGGTCTCATTGATAATAAAGGTTGCGTTTGGATTTTTGAAATACGGAGCTTCTGAACATTAATAGAAAAATAATTCTCCAAAATTCTTAAAACCTTCAGTGTAATTTAATTCCATCAAACTAACATCTGCAGAAATTGGTTGGTTGTAGTTGATGTCTTCTTCCTCGTCATCATCGTCGTCGTCCTCATCTGAATCTGTCATGGTGATTTTTTGTAAAATAAAATTAGAAAATAAAAATTTCAACCAGCTTATGCTTATTTTGATCATACCCAATTCGCGATTAATTTTTCTGAATCTCAAAATATGTCTAGCCCTCGCAATTTTTTTCTCATTGCTCATCGACTCCCATCCTTTGAGCATGCCACGAATGCGCGCCATTTCCGCGGGCGGCAACAATTTTGGCAACAAATGTGTGACATCGGCGACGCGATGCTCGGTGAGCCAATCAAATAATTTGATAGGATCTGCAATGACTCACTCGTTTGATCAAATTCCTCTTCAACATCATGCAAATCGTCTTCTGTTAGTGTCACACGCGTCACCGAATTCGGGTCAAAACTGTTGAACACCGATTTCGCGAACACTCCGGTAAAATTGCACGGCGGTTTGAAGCACAACGTTCCACTTATTGGATTCCTAGCTCGACTGATCATTCGTGACTCATACTTTTTGCAGTTGGCCTCTGTCGCTGCCGAATAATCAATGTCGGTCCGTTTTCGTTCTTTGGTATATCGCCAAAGGCACACGCATTCCATCGGAATACTTTTTGCATTGATATCCGGAATCAGGAAATAATCACAAAAGTCTAAAAACAATCATGCACACACGCATCAAACCATGCTTCTATACATGAAAAAGTCGTACCTATCACCTCGATCGTGAAGTTTCTTGTGATTTTACCGTATGAATTTGTCACACGGCAAGACCACATACCCTGAAAAAATTGTTTAGAGTAGCCAAAATGTATACATCATTTAAAATAGTAAAATTAATTATTTTATAGAGTGGCGTTTTCTCTAACCTGATCTGAAACGGTGATATGGTTAATTGAGAAGAGCATTCCATCTCGCTCTTTCTGCATTCTACCGTGATCCATGACCTTTTCTGTGACGAGTTTATCATTTCGGAACCATTCCACCAAAAATGGCGAGTTTGAGCTTGCAAGACAATTCAATCGTATCTTGAAAATTTATAAATTTATTGATTTTGGAATCATTCTACTTTATCTCCTAGATAGACTTCCTTCTTTGGTGAGTGCGGCGATTTGAATCGTGGCACATTCTCGCGAAACTTCTGATCGGGCGACGGATGAGTTATGCTGCTTGAGATTATCGCAAACAGCAGAACAAGTAAATAGACCATTGCTGCTATGAACACATAACCAGCGAGTTTGTGAGTTGGTTTCTGTAATGTGCTAGATGTGTTAGGAGAAAGGGGGTGGAATGCCGTTTGAATTAGACAAATTGATATATTGCCTTAGTGCGCGGCCGGATGGCATAATTTACGGTGGTGGGTCCGGGTAGAACATGTGCGACAAATTTTTCCGTCCAAATGTTTCTATTTCGAAATCGGCGTCGAAATTCAAATAAAATTGCCAAATTAAAAAAAAAACATCATTATTATTTCTTTATGAGACTATTAACGACCACATGCGGGTGTTTAAATGGCGGGCTCTGGAATGACAGTTTTGAACACTTTCTAATCTATATCTATTCACTATTCTCATAATGGACAACGTGTGGGATCCGCATGGCAAGGAAGACAAGCCGGAATTCAAGAATCTCGGAAGCACGACGTCTACTGACAATGAGCAAGGACAGAAGATGAATGAGTCTACCGTGGACTGGACTAACAACCAACCAGTGGATCCGCAGAATAATGATCTTCACTGTTAAATAATTGTTGTGACGCATAAGGTTTTGATTTTGTTGTTCTGTACTACGAATTTATATCATTTTTCACGCGAATACGTAATATGGGGTTTCGAGCAATATAAAGTATATAACATTACCATGCCTTCCAATGAAGTCCAGACACTGTCGGTATTGTCAAGAGATATCAATAAATGGCGTTATAATAAACTGGGTCAAATGACATTTAAAAAAATGACGAATAATGAAAATGAAAGGTGTGAATTGAAGTGACATATGTTGGTAGTCTTCGTCGTCTTCTCGTATCTATTAAATTGCATAGATAGGCAACCTACTACTGTAAACTAAGTTAAGCGCCGCAACAATTTTTCTTCTGTTTTGTGTAATCAGTAGAGGACAATAAATAGCCGGAAATCAAATGAAATTGTCGAAAAAGTTTTAGTGAGATTCTACATCTGCGAATTGGTTTGAATGAATTCAATCGGCGGGCCCCTGGTGTTGAAAACAAAGAAAAACGCAGAGAAGCAATTTGCACATCATATGGTATTTATGAAAGGGTCACTCATAAAAAATCAAAACTCGCTGACTAACCAGCGGCTCGCAAGAAATAAGATGTTTCGAGCTCCAGATGTCCAAAGGGGGTGGAGTCAATTGTACGAATTCATATGAAACATCAAACTTGTATGAAAAAACGACGAACAATATGTTCCATAATGACATTCAACATATGCGAGCTCACCGGCGAGATTTGGAATGGATTTCATACGAATGAAATGTGTAGTAGCGACGGGAACATTCGTTTTGCTTGACCACATGATTGTAAAGAAAAACGCCGATCTTGGCTACCGGTTTTTAAATTTCATATTTGTATATACATAGTCGGCATTTGGTTCGATAAGTTTTAAATCGAATGACGTTAGAAATTTCAATAAATGCCAAACTCATCAAAATAAAATAACCGTTCACACGTGGCGAGACCTTTTCAAGGCGCATGCGCTTAAATCTACCCGCTTACAGCAGTCGCCGGACGCGAACTATACTTGTATAAAAGGAAATACATACCATATAATTACGTAGTATGAAATCAATGTCACATTGCATTGGTAATTTACTTTCAAGTAAAATTTATGGGTAATTAATTATACGTGATCAGATAAGAGATCGTTATCTCAGTAAAAATCTTTTTAATTGCTCACGCCCATTTTTAACGCCTAGAAAGCGTTGTCGTCAAAAATCATTACTTCGCAACCATTTTTCACGGCATTATTGCAGACCCCAAAAACCGATAAATGATGATAAATGGGTATGATAGGCGATCGCAATTTTGTTCGGGAACGCGTTCTGTTTCAGAACGTATCATCGGGCGGCATCATGGAAAGGCGGCTGATTTGATAAATTGTGAATTGAAATATATCCCTATATACATCGAAAGAACGAGGACGAAAGATAAATGTAGAAGACAACTTTTGTGTTTTTGACAAAGTAATCAATAAAACGGCCAAGATAAAAAGGTGGGAGGGAGGGTGTTGTCGAAATTGGGCAAAAGATACGCGGATTCGCTGTTTTCACGCAAGACGACGGAGACATGTGAAAGAAGGCGAAGGCAATCATGTAGAAGGAATCGATGGAATTGGCGGGAATGGTCAAATGTTAATGATTAAACTGAAAAAAGGCGCCAGCGATGTCGTCGTTGATTTATGAAATATGTTTTGTTGTACTTGAGATATTAATGTTTCTTGCGCGGCGAATGATAAAGTTGACATATCGCAATGTTGCATTTTTCGCTGCATGTGACGTGAAACTATTTAGGGAATGGTTCAAAAGAGAGAGAAACTGTTTCGCTTTTGGCCACCACCGACAAGAAGCCAATTACAGTAATCACCAGTCTGGAGGTTTTTAACTAGTATTAATAAGCAATAAGATAATGGCTACTCATTTTTGAATTTTTTTGTTTTCAGTGTCTTTTTTAGCTACAGTATGCCGTTCGAATTTAAAAATAAACCGTAATTTCGCGATTTTTGCCTAATGAAGGAATATATAAAAAGAAATTGCCGTCAGAATCAATTACGTCTACTTTAGAAGAATCAAGCACGTGTCAAGCACATTCTGTGAGAAAATAAAGAATAATTCCCAACCAATTTCTTCTTACCGGTTGGCTGACTTGTTCGTCAAGAAAAAATACGAGATAAGGGGGGGGGAAGAAAATTCCTATGATTACAATCAAGCGGAAACGCTAAAATGACCGATGAACTTGGGAAATTGATGGCAATGCTAACAAAAACGTGCGGGCACACGACAACCATAGGGGTATCGGAGAAGCGAGAAAATTGATATTTTTGTAATCTTGAAGGGTTGGCCTTGACGCGATACCGGTGGATAAATGTAATCGTATCAGATTACATTGCCGACAACCGGCCCGATTGAATATTCTATCATATAGTTATCGAATTGACATATGCCGATTTGTGTTGGGCGAAATGATTTAGGCAATTCAAAGATAGATATGACGTTGTCACGCTATTCGAGGTAGTCATCGAATGAAAATGAATGTTTTGAAAAATATTACTGTGATCTTCAAGAGCATGATTGTTGAAGTTATCAAACGACTTAATTGATTTATTTTTTTAAAGTTCTGAATGGCCATATGAAAGCTTCAAGCTGCTCACTGAGCAAAATTATCGGTCCTGGAATCTTCTGGCGCCAACATAGTACGCTAAGCCGAAGATTTATTAGAGTTTAAAAAAGATCTTCTCCGCTGCACTCATTACCTTGCCTCCAGGTGCGCTCCGCAAAAATGACGCCACATTTATCACAATTGCATTTTTTTTGTTCATCGTTCGCACCTCATCGTTTCAATATCTCTACCGTAGAACCAACATATGGTCGAAATACTTTATCGCGCAACAAATTGCACCGGAAATGATACATATGTCGTCGATTTCGTCACGTTAGATTTATAACGTTGACCTAACCAAATAGTTAAAGCGAAACAAATAAAGCTCAAACAAAATATTATTAGAAATTCCGATGTGGAGACTTGTCAGTTGAGACAGTCGAGCCAAAGTCGTTCGACTTCGCGCAATTGCAAGTGGCTGTCAATTTCGAAAAAGAGAACACCTATATAAATATTGGGGGAATTCGATTATATTGATTAGATTAAATTAAATACCTTGGCCAACTAGACTAATTTGCTTGGTGTATTCGTGGTGAAATTTGCAGCCTTTTCTTGCCGCAATGTGCACAAGCCACATTCCATGCCCACAACCGATCTGAAATATTTCCGACTCAACTATTTAATAGATCATTGTGGTTTACATTGGATGGCGTGAAGCTTGTGTAATCATGAGTTTTTGGATTTATATATCCACTTGTCTCTCCATTAGGAGCTTGAATCTGAAATTTCAATCATTGTACAAATTGTCAGAAAATGAGGATTCGGGAAGTATCTTAGGAAAACATGAAGAAAAAGTCTCACTAATAGGTGTTTTACAGACTGATTATCAAATTATGCAATCCCCCTTTTACTTAAACAATTAATTAACCTTGCCAAATTTTCATCGACACATCCATTTTTTTTTTAGAGTTTTAGTAGTTCTTAATAGTCGAAAAAAACCTCGAACGGAAAATTTACTGGCGATCATTAATTCGGCGCCGATGTTTCATTTTGCCGCATACCTTGACGATGACATCAATTTTCGTGACGGATTTGAACGCGAATTCGATTTGGGACGCTTGCAACGGGCAAAATAATTGTTCCTTGGCGTGATGGTCTAATCCGAACACTTGATGTGATCTGAATATATGGAATTTTTATATTTGAAAAAATTATTAGTTAATTACCTTCTTTTCCGTTCAAAGCTGTTGAGTGTGCATTTGTAATCATGGGATCTTCCTTCTTTTGGAAAATATCTGAAAAAGCGATACAGCTGGCTATTGAATAAATTATTGCGAACCATCATTTCTTTGTTTGTAGAAATATAAATTGAGAAAAATAATAATCAACAAATCCACTCTTGTTGAATTAACATAATTATTGCTTACCTCACCAATTGGCAACTCGCAGGAGTTTGTACTGGTCGAATTTTCGGGAATATCTTATCATCAACGTCACTTGGAGGGATTATCGGTTTTCGTACAGTAGTGACGGTCTACATTTCAAAATGATCACTTCCAAATTTTCAGCGTCTAATTACCACACGAAGGACATCATTCCGGTTAAGAGTTGTAGTTTCAAGTTCGACCTCTTCAACATTTTCCAGAACCACTGGATTTGATGGTGGTGTGCAATTCGAGTTCCTCTCAATTCCAAAAATCTTTCGTGTCCTTCGGAAGCTACTCTAAAACCTATGAGTAAAAACATTTCGTTTTTCACAATAGCAATATCGTTAAAACATATGGGTAGAGTAAATTTCAAAGAGCGTACAAGTATGTAGTTTATTAAAGTGTAAAAAATAATTGGAACCCCACACAGTAAAAATGACCTTCAATATTTGTGTACACACTTTTATCTACGTATGACTTATTTGAACATTCAACAATTGTTTTTAAACGTTCAAATTATGTGCTGTAAATTGAATATTACTATATATGTTGGCTTAATCAGATCTACCTGGAACTAGAACACATTAATATATTCGGATTGGAAATATCTCAATTGAGCGCCCTTTATCTGATTGCTTGTATTTATGATATGGCTATGAGAATCTATATAGATAATAGATTGATACGTTAAGATACAAATCAAAAATCGCGAACTTACTCTGACAAACCGACGCAAACTTCCTGTGCGCGAATTGTTTCGGGTGAACGGTGTTGTAGAAGATTCGTCGGCATTGCTAGTGGTTGCCATCCTGGGAATTGTATCAATAATAATTGATTGTTATGGAAAGTTGCAACTTGACTAATCAGGCATGAAGCACTTAATAAGGTCAATAATTCGAATGCAGAAACGAGAAAAAAGGTAATGCGGAGGAGAACAATTACACAAGGAAGATTGGAGAAATTGGCAGTGATAATCAGTAATAAGTGATGAATTTGGGACACACGAATCGAACAAAGATCTCAGCGAATTGATTACTATTTGATTTGATTTCCTAGAAACTTATTTAAAATGGTGATATTTAATTTGGGTTGGGTTTGGTTTGAAATCGATGTAAAGGCTCACTGTCAGAAATGATTTGTACGAATCGAGAATGATTGTTCAAAAGTGGGTAGCCGACATCAACAAAAATTTTTTCTGGCCATTGATAATCATGGCCTTATGGTGGTCGAGGGAAGTCGATAGATGGACAAAAAACGATAGATTGCTTGAAACGATCTGGTTTTCTCGTATCAACTTGTCGATTTCAGTTTTCAAACTGGAGAAACGTCTGAGAAAAAAATCAATTCAAAATCGTTTTGTCTCATTTCGTCATTTTCCTTTTAAGGTTTTATTATCAATGGATGTTTGTTAATGTAACCGCACCCTCCATTCTGCCGGAAAATATCAAATACAATTTTTTACATTATTTTTTCGATTTATCACGTGATTGGCGTATTTGATGAACTTCGCTGGTCTTTTGAATCAAGATTAATTTGTCAGCGATTTTATTTCAATGAAAATTTCGGTGAAATTCATAAGAATATAGATTATAGTATTTTTTGAATAGAAACTTTTTAGTGAAGGAGGCAATAATTGAGGTTGAAAAAAAAAGAATAGCTATAAATATCAAAAGAATACCATTTAGATAGGCAAATTTGTATCTTAGCCAGCCAGAAACGTTCATCTGAATAATCTATGACTTTGATCTTAAAGGTCACACATCGAATATTGTAAAGTTTGGGAAAGAATTGGAAAAATTACTAAGTTTTTGAATGGCTATTATTCTATAATAATAATTTGAGGATACTATATATTTATTTATTTTTTAGAATTTCTCTTTCACCCTTAAAATGCAAGACTGACGCACAGGTATCAGCTGGCACTTACGTCCAGTAAGCATGTACTCTCATTACACGGTGGCTCATTGCTCAAAACTAGCAAAAAATGATTAATGAACAAAATATACCGGTCTGATTTTAATTTTAGGAAATGTTAGAACAAGATGATATTTTTTGCGCATTTTAAGGCAGAAATTAAAGATGCTGAATTACTAAGAAAAGAGGAAAATCGCAAAAATTTGTATATGAAGAAGAGGAATTGAGCATAGGCATGTGTTCATTATTTGTATTTGAGAAAAAATTGAATACAATTTTTGGAATTTTTCTTTTCGGTGATTATTTAACTCAATATTTTAGGGCTAAGAAGTAATTTGAAAAAAAAAACATTTTTTCGAAAACCATTAAAATTTCTAAATTCCATATTAGATATTATTTCCTCAAACAATCAACCATTTTTCTTTAATTAATTGCCTTGTGGGAGCTAAGCCTAAATTGCAATCTATAGTAATAAGAACAGCACTGAAGTTGAACACTAAAAATTCTAATAATAACTAGTTCGGTTTGTGTTCTTTTGTGACGAGACCTGAAGAATTTTAGTTGTGTTTAGTGCCCAAATTTGCAGCATGATTCATTTGATGTTGAAGAAGCCTATGATTTTAATTGAAGGCAGCGAATCTTTTTTGACACAGACCAAATCTTCAATATTTTCAAAGCAATTCAATGGCAGCTTATTTCAAGGATCTTGTTAATTGAAATTGAAACTGTATAATTAAATATTTTTTTTATTCAACCAACTTGTACAAATTTGATCTTTTTATGCTCGTGTTGAACTTTATTGGAATCAGCTAAACATTTTCTCGAATTGAGAAATTATACCGATAATTATTGCAAATTATTGGGCAATTAAAGTGCAATTTATGATTTGTGCAGCCTCAGAACTACCACCTACGCTCTAGGCTAAGTTCATACTCTATATTACTCAATCCCCATCAGCTAGATAGTGACGTAAAATCTAATTGGAGTCGTAATCGAATGCGGGGCTGCAAAATGAAAATACACGGCAAGAATTTGTTTAATGCAGATACATGAAAATTAGATTACAAGAGCTATTAAGGTATCAAAGATATCGATATATTATAAAATCGCATGCTCACAGATCACATAACAAATTAAAAATCTCTTGCATTTTAGCGATACAATTTATCAGTATTTATTTTATTTTCCGATTCTGCAAAGAAAGTTTCAGTTCGAAATACCCATTGCTGAAGACAATGGTCGACGAATGGAGTTCCGTGTTCCAAATAACCCGCGCTTTCTTCCGACATTTTTCTACTCGAACAAATGGCATTAGCACAGAAAAGTACATAAAACATTTATTTTAAATATGAAGTGTTAAATATGATCATAGCTTATTATCAATTTAAGTGTGACATGAGATCCCCTGCAATTGAACTGAACATGAACAACGTATTGCTTAAAAATTACAATATCAACAAATATACATACAGATAACATGTGAAGCGAAATGAACAATTTACATTGGATAATTTGGATATTCTTCATGAAGTGCATCTAGAGCGTCGCTCCAGTTTTCAATCACCTTTCGTATAAGTTTTTTAGTGTTGAAGAATTGTTTGAATTTATTTTTTGCTGGCTTCACTCGTAGCATTACGGAAATGATAAACGCGCAAAAGAGCGAATTAGCAATGTAATTTCGCCTATATGAGCTGAGAAACTGAAAATGAATCATTTACAAATTGAGAATCGCGATTTGAATATACCTGTTCCATGGTCATCTCGAAATTAAGCTTCAATTGTGCGGCTTTAATTTTCAGCTCTTGGTAATAGATGGGCAGGTAGTTTTTTTCAGCATAGCGTCGTGTTTCGGGATCGCAGCAAAACGTGAGAACATGTCCAATGTCTTCCGCTGGATTTCCAATATGGAAATTCTGCCAGTCAATGATGTATGCTAGATGATTCGATGCCACACTAGGATCATCGGGGCTGGGAATCCATAGCAGATTATATGACCAGAGGTCACCGTGGCACATGACACTTGGCGCTCCTGAATGAATGTTATACCATCATCAAGTGTTTTATCAATCTTACCCAAGTCTCGGTGAGCATCGCGAAGAAGCCTAATAAACAGCTCTCTGTCTTTATACAGTTTCTCAACTTTTTTGAACATTGGCCTCAATTCCGCATGCCTATCAGCAAACAACTTCACATATTCGTGAGTTGACGCATATGTATCGATGAGTCCCATTGGAAATTCGAATTGACTCGCCAAATCCGGATTCATATCAAGAGAGGAAAGATGCAGTTCGTGAAGTTGATTTCCAATTGAAGTTAGCTGGTGAATGTTTAGCGAGTCGTGATAGGGAACACTGAGATATTCTCTCAAGTCTTGCATGAGAATTACTCCGGTTAGTTGTCCTTGTTTGCATTCCTTGAGAAGTGTTATGTTGGGCACGTGTAATCGTGGAACGGGTGGCATCGAATAAAATTGGACCTCTCGATTGAAGAAAAACAATAGATTGCTGACGAACTGTTGATCAGCGCCATCTGGCAATATCGTTTCCGTCGTGATCTCTAAAGCATTTTTGATATTTCCCGTTTCCGGAAACTTTGCAATAACCTGAATAAGATAAATGAAATTTTTAAGAATAATATTAAAGATACGTACGCTTTCGGTTGTTTTATCGTCATAAGTCAATGTGACCTGCACGATGCTCGAACAGAAGCCGTCAGTTCCAAATGGGTGTAACTCTATCTAAAAAAAAGTACTGGAATTTCATTAAAAAAAATGTTTCTTACATCTTCAACTTGTTTAACTTTATATTCATCTTGTAGCAATTTGAGTAGTGATTCTTTTGTGTATCCGATCTGACTAGCAGCCGGCGCTGATTCCTTTTTTGCCGCCTTCTCTTCAACCTTCTTCGTATAGCGTTGCTTGACATTTTCATTCTCCTTATTTTCATCGTCGAGAATTTTCGACATTTCAACGTCTCTCCTCTTCTCAATATGATTCATCTCCATACGATTCCAATATTGATTCGTCTTATCTTTATACACTTCTTTTGGCTGTTCCGCGAATTCTTTTAATGGTTCCTTCTTCTTCCTTGTTTCAAAGTGAAAATTCACACCGTTCCTCATATCTTCTTCGAAAATCAACTCATCTTCGGACAAATCACTTGCGCTTCCGATACCATCGTCACTTGATAGCGCGATACTATAAGGCGGTGAGCATTTGCCGTCGTAATATTGCGTTTTTTCGTAATTCATATCTGGTAATTTTCTTGTGTCTCTTCTTCCCGAATCCAAGCGAAGTTCTTCGATTTTGGCGAGCAAGATCTTCTGTTGCTTAAGAACTTCCTGCTCTTTCCAAAAAATTCGTTGGTATTCATTTCGAACGCGTTTGGTTAGCAATTGTTTAGTGCTGATCGAAACTCCAACACTGTTATAGCCAAAGTTGTTATCGGCAAATTTTGGAATAAATATTCCAGCCGTCGTTCTCTGACAAAACTTCGGTTTTTTTACTATCTAAAATATTTAGCTTGGTTTTTCAAAAACGAAAAGAATTTATGAATCGTACCTCGATCGCATATTGGGAACTGTATTCGTCTTCACAGGAATCGTATGATGAGAGAATAAGAAGAGAGCGACTCATAGCAGCCAACATTCGTCGGTATTTGCATGCGCCAGGTATATATAGCGCCTACGAGGCTCCACCTACAACGTGAGGTTTGCAGATTTTTCTGCAACAAAATTTGAGGCGGAGCCAGCAGATATTATAGCAGAGCCAATGATAATGGGCAAACTGAATCACGCACACAAAAACATTGTGTCTCGATTGACATTCAAAGAATTACAAGAAAATCATTGATAGTGAACTTTGGTTTTATGAATAAAAAAAATGTTGATCTCAATAGTTGCAATTATTAATTGTGGCATTTGCAATGTGCGTTCTAGGAATTAGTGTGAGGGTGGAGGGGATGATTGCAACAAACTAATCATTAAGTTCATGCTACAAACAATTTCATTTATGCAAAATTTAAAATAATATATTATTAATAAAAAAATGTTTGTCATTTCTTGCAATTAATATCGGAAAAGATTTATGAGAACAATGGAATTGAACAAGATTTTAGTTAGAAATTCAGCAAGAAATTTGCAGATTCCCAATTATCGTAATCCCGAGGGGGGAGAATAAGGTCAATAGATTACATGATTTATTAGTATTATTGTATCGCAACATTGTTTGTCCTGCCCTCACAGGTCATGAAATCATTACTCACTAGTGCCATCTGGATTTGAATCATTTTGCAAACCCTACGATAATTATTCCAATCAACTATTCAAGCATAAATGTTGCGGAAATATGTTCTTAAATGATACCCTTCTTATGACTTGTAAGAAATTTATGAAAATGCACGTAGGATTATTTTATGTTGCTTGCACTTATGGAAAATGCTAATAAAGTAATTAGTCAACAAAGATGAAAAAGATATTAAGAAGAACTACTTAGAATATTCAAAACTCGAATAAAGAGTTGATTTTTGGAAAATGGGATTATATTAAATGTGAACAATTGCATCGTTTGCATATTAAAGGATTTTGAAAGTATTAAAAAAGTATGATAAATATGATTCAATCTAAATTTTTTTTAGCAAAAGTACAAAAAATCAGGTGAAATTTTTTGAATTCTTTATCAGGTGCTACTTTTAATTTTCAACTTCCACCTGTAGCTATGTGTAGCTATTTGAACTGTCACAGTGTTAAAAAAAGGAGCAAAACATAAACATTTCTTTTTTTGTCATGTAGCCAAGAATCGTCTGCGAATCGTATTAGCTGGTCAATTCAACCATTTTATTTATTAATTTGAAATTTAAGAGTTTTGATGATTTTTAAAAATAAACGTTTAACAAGAACTCAGTCAGTAACCAGTCATTCAGCTTCATTTTTAAATAATCGATAAATTTTGAGAAATTTTGTCAACCACCTTGTAAATTACAGGGCTTTAAACAAACTGAAATGAATTCTATTTTGCTTTAATTTTTATTAAATGACACTTTGTATCTTTAAGTTCTTTAATAAATATCGCTTTTTTTTAGCAACAACAATATTTCTGTGTTAAAATTGATAGTGGTTCGTTTCAAAATTCCTTAATTGACGTTGAGATTTAGCCACGTATGAATCGATCCAATGAGAATTAATTAATATGATTAATCATATCGCCCACTCATTTTTGTAGCTCATAGATTTTGCAATTTTTTTCCCATTAGAATCATTATCAAAGTTAATGCAAGGAATCTACCAATCAAATTAAAATTAATTATCTGCTAGGTTTTCGTCAGAATCTTATTAGGTGAATTACTCAGTCTGATTCACTTTTGCTCATTGATGCTGAAATGTAATCAAAAATAAGTTCTGACACTCGCAACATTTGCAATTGTGAGATTTGTCTGCGAAAAATTAGTGATTGAAAATCGCCATCAAAAGAAAATTAATGATTTTTATATTGAGAATTCAGCTTTTCAGTCCACCCATCAATGAATCCGCTTGAGAATTCTTCAAAAGAAAATACGATGTTTGTGTTGCTTTGATTTGTTCAATGCTTCGTTCATGGAAATGATAAATTCATTTTTGAGAGTCCATTGGTATGCCAATGCAATGCAAAATCAATTTGGCAATTGCAGAGTTTTCTAATAGATTTAGAAACGTCGTATCAGAAATCTAAAATTTACTTCGTCAGAATATTTTTGCGTGGGGGGTGCCCCAGCACGGAATATGTACTTTTTTATTACTAACACTTTCAAAAACCCTATGCAGAGAAATTCAAGAGAAATTCAAGAAATATCGAACATTTTAGTACCGAAAAAGAAAAATGATTATAATTTATGTCTTTCCTTATAAAATAAAAGAGAAAATCGGCAAGAATATCCTTTAAAATACTCAGATCGAAAAATGGACACTACAGAATTGAAAACTTCCATAGAGATTGCTGAATATAAATTTAAAAGCTTCTTAAGTCAATCAGGAAATGCTTTGATGTGCATTTTTGATAATCAAAAAATAGAAATAGTAAATATACTATGATCTATTTTCATATGAAAGATTTGGGAAAAAAAACTGAAAACATATTTAAAATTTCAAAATTTAACATCGGCTTAATTTCTAGCCGTATGGTCAATTTGGCAAAACATCTCATTAATAACTAATATCAGAATAGCTTATAATCTCTAAAATCTCTACGAGCTTCCGCCGAAAATTTCACACCATTTTTTCTAAATTAAAATGCTTGAGATCGTAATTAAAACATCGAACCTGAATTTTATTACCTAAAAAGGTCTCAATATAAAAAAATTGTGATGGACGAGGTTTGTGAGCCACAAACGCGGCCGTCCGCTCAAAATGCCCTTTGATGTGGAAATCAAGGACTACGGTAGTATTGCATATACGAAAAAAGATGCACGAAATATGGAACTCAAAAACGAAAAAATAGCGAAAAAAATTTATTATTAATATATGAAACATGAATGTTTATGGTCCCTCTTTCCGTTCAAATCTTTCTGTAAATGCGAAATTCCAGAAAAAACCCGTGGTTCCTAGATTCAAAGCTACCCTATTGTAAGTGTTTTTGCTATATAAAAATATCTTATTTTCAAAACTTTGTTTAACAATCTTAGACCAGTTTCTCTCATTTTCTAATTCTAAAATTTGTTTTTAAAAACAATTTTTTTACTCAAATATTTTTCATAAAAGACTGAAAAACATATTCAAACTATATTTACATGTTATTAAGAATTTTTTCTTGTATATATCATAAATAAACAGAAATCGAAAAAAAAATCAATATCCTCTACTTCTTCCATGCTTCAGAATCTCATATTCAATATATCCGTACAATATCTTTATTGATGTTCCATGCACGTCGCGTTTATCTCGTGATAATACATATTCAAACCCAAATCTTGAGAATTTTGAATTGTTTGCTTATGGTCATGCTCGTTGGATAAGTGCCTAATGAGAAATAAGAGAAAATCAACAAGTATACATATTCGCGCGACACGCAAATCCGAATACAGTGTCTCGACAAAGATTTGTCTTGCTCAAGATGGAGGGAGGGAGCTAGGCCTCTTGAAGCACACGCAAACTGAATTGCCGAACCATCTCGCCCCCTGTATGCATATCCCAGTATTGTTTGCGACAAGCCATTCGTGCCCGAAGCATCCGTACCCACCGACAAGGTCAACTTCTTGCTCATTCTTCTTTTTCCATTATGCATACGTTTCACATCACTGTATTAATGTTGATGCTCTTCCCATTGAGCAGGTAAGTTCAAAAAATCATTTCTTGTAAAGAATACTTTGATTTCAATAGTTTCAAAAGACCAACTCCAGTTGCAACAGGCTTGAGGGAGGGGGGGGTGAGGGAGTGTGGGGGGAGTTTTCGAATTACTCGAATGATCTTATTTTTCACGTGAATTCGAACCGCTGCAAACTGCCAATCATTTTCTCTCTAGCGTGAATTCATTGAATTGCTTAATTATACTTCGCTATATGTTGGCAAATAATATGCACAACAATGGGTGACACATAACAACATCTCAAAGATTGTCGAAGGGGGAAAGTGGATTTTGGTGCTTGAATTAATTGAAGTTTCCAATGAATCTGATCGTTGAATGATCTTCATCTTTAAAGATTTAATCTTCCCGACAATATGAAGTTATGAGTCAAATGACCTGAGTTCGCAAAGCGTTTTTCTTTCCCATTAAAAATGTGTCTCGAAAAGTTGTCATACTTCGAATAACCGAAATTTCATAGAAGCACAATGTAACAGTAATTGCGTGATTCGTTAAAAATTAAAATTAACTTGCCATTGCAATAGCTCAAAAAAATTCTCAAAAAACTATATTTTGAAATTATTAAAATATTAATACTCGGTTTGAATTGTCATTTTCAAATGTGAAAGCTACCGTAATCCTTGCAAATGCTGAGTCAGAATTTTCAGCTTTTTAAACTTGATTTCAATTTTTCAGACAGATGACTCAGAACGTACAAAAAATTTTCACAAATTGGCAAATTAGCGTTAATACTACGAAAATTGGAGGTTCCCATTGAAATTTTCAAGTTCTGTCATTGAGTATTGTAATATATTGGTGTCACTACACTATTCACAGAATTGTTTTTGTTGTTCACACGATATATAATTGAAAAAGATGACAAGTTGTGGTTTATAGAATTCAATGAATTATTGAAAAATTAAAAATATTTGAGACATGAAAGATATTCATAGTTGGTGTAAATGACGAAACTAAAATTCATTGAAAGGATTTAAGATAAAAATTCAAGACACAGGCTTAAAGTGCTTTTGTAACCGCAATCTTCATAGTGAGTTTTTTTTCTAGAGCCTGTCTATAATCATTATAATTTATAAATTAAATAGGAAAAAAGTATATTCGAAATCCTGCTTCATAGTAAATCGAAAAAAAACATTTTTTGAGACAATTTAAGGTTTTATCTAATTCATTATTAATGAGTAAATCATTCGAACCCAAAGAACTCGAAGAAAAAATTATTTGCAGTGCTCGGATTGCTTCCTACACTCGTGACTCATGCAACTGTCCACCTGAAATTGATCCAGTATGTGTTCGTGAAGGTCCACATCAATATAGTTATGCAAGCAAATGCATATTTAAATGCGCACAAGAGAAGAATAAAGGTTGCCGGTATTATTTTGCAAATAATAAAGCTTCATATTTCAGAACTTGCAATGCTTTACGAAGGGTCTTGCTGCACCGCCAGGTACTGCAACATGTTTGAGCCACCAGTGTGCGCTGAAGATGGACAAGTTTGCAAAAAATAATCCCATTTTAAATTATCGATGAATCATTAAGATGTACCAGTCAATTTGCGAACTGGAGGAGCGGCAATGTGTGGAATACAAGCTGTATGATCAGCATTTGGCAATAGATAGCAACCAGGACAAGTCACATTAATTTCAGACAATATTAAAACCAAACCATCAACATTTTCAGGTGCTCATGTGTTGCTCCATGCCCACAAGAATGGAATCCGGTGTGTGATAAGAATGGAAAAACTCACGCAAATTTTTGCACATTTTTGAATTCGAAATGTTTTCACAAAAATCAGTATGTATCATAAATTAAAAAAAAAAGAAATTTGTTAAATTTCAGGTTGAATCAGACAATTGAAATTGATTATTCCGGTGTTTGTTGTGAGGATATGTGCACTTCAGGTATAAACTTTGCATACATAGAGAGTTTGATCTCAAAATTGTTATGAGCATTTCAACTTTTTTGGTTTGATAAGCCAATTCACAGAAAAATAAAAAATAAAAAGAATATATTGCAAACGATTTGAAAGAAACGTTTGCACGTGCCTATAATGTATTCATAGATATTTTGATAAATAAACCGCTTTCAATTTCCAGGTCAAACCTCCTTAACAGTATGCGATTCTGATGGCAACACTCATACTGATATTTGCTCGTTTTATGTGGTAATTGATAGTCAGGTTAAATTTGATGAAAACGTGAAATATTCTAGGAAAAATGCCGCCAACTTCGACGAGGAGTTATAAAGAAGCGATTGCAAATTGCTGGCGTCGGACCATGCAAACCGAAAAATCCACTTTTAACAACTTTTGACTTTTTCATCAATCGATTTCCCAATTATCATCCACCAAGGTACACAAGAGGTGCATAAAACGATTTATTCATTCTTGTGGACGAAGACGTTTTTTCGTTAGGTTGATGGAGAGTTTGAAACCCAGTAAGCAAAAAAAAAAGAAAATACAATATTATACATATTGGTGGGTGAAACGCCATGTACAGAATAGGATGTTCAAGCACCCGTGGGTGATCTTAAGAAACGTAAGATTCATTTTTTTTTTGGATTTTTGTTTTATTTCAAAAATTTGGTTTTTTTTTGTGCGCTTGGAATGTGTTCAAACATTTGAGTTTTTTTCAATTCCACTTTTTTCGTTTGGTTCGCGAAGCATTGTTATGTTAATTATGCGGAAAATGACAGAAGAACAACAACTGTTAATGCACTACATTGGTTCGATTTCAACCCCATCGATGTCCACAGAATTGTATTGAACGATTCTCGGCTTCTGGCGATGCTTCGAAATGATGTCGCAGATGTCGTCATAGATCTGAAAATATCAATAATTGTCCACCATAATTATATTAATCATTTGACCTTATCGACATCTCCAATCGTCACTAATCCAAGTGTTTGATTAATGTCATTCTCATGTACTTCAATCCAGATGATGTTTCTTTTGATTTGCTGGTGGCTACGCTGAAAATTGACAACTTAGACATTTGATTATTTTTAAATTTGGACCTCATCCGTGTATGTCTTTCCTTTGCTGGTGTTCTGCACGTTGGCGATTTCAACGCTATAAGCGCCGCCAATTTTCGAGCAGTCAAACCTTCTTGGACGATATCTTATTGCCTCGTCCTGGATGTACACCAATCCACCCCGTCGGATCTAAAATTTTGATTTCGAGTAACCCGTTCAAAATGTTTCAAAGTGAAATTTTTAAAGCTTTCAAAATTATATCACAAATCTGTTGATAAATCCCTAATTTAAAACAATTGTTCAAATTACTGGAAAATTGTAGTGTTCCAAATATCTAATATTTCTCGACTTTCCATTAAAACTTCAAAAAAAGCCAAAAGCTAAATTTTATTATTGCTTGCCTCGGAATTATGACCATCATCGAGAATGAGGCAATCAACATGCCATTTGTAGCGAACCGATGGATCTGGAACTCCAGGGTCACAATGTCTTCCAAAGACGCAACCCATCTTATAGCATCACCTGAAATAGAGATAAATAATGTGAGAGAAGTGTTGCGTGCAAATATTTCAAAATAATTGCGAGATGAGTGATAAAAGATACAGTAATCGTAGAATTAATGGATATAAAATGTTTTCTGATTGAGAAAAAAAAAAGAAATAAATGTACGCAGTGCAGAAAAATGAGAGATTAAGCATCTGCTCTCGATCTGCTTACTCATAATTGTCAACAAATGTGATATTTAAGGCTGTGATAATTGCAATAATTGGCAGTTTGTTAAATAGGTATGTTGGCGAATTCTAAAAATTTACACGTATTACGCAGCGAAGCAACCAATATTATCAAATGTTTCCCAATTTCGACAGCAAACACGCATGAGGCACACTTGCGCGATGTCCGCAGATAGAATTGCCATTACTTTAATCAATATAGCTTCGAACGGCTGGCTTTTTGAAATTGACAGCATTGGAAGATGTGGATGTTTTTGACATACACAATTGAAAACGGAAAATCGTCAACGGGGTATACTTGGACATTTTTAGTGCACATAAATATCTTTATACCGCCTAGCTCATCAAAACCACCCATAAAAATATTGGCAGTCTAAAAAAAACTTGAGAACCCGAATTCAAAGAGCAAAATATGATGCCGGAAGCCATTTCAACCTTAAACATTTCAACGGGTCTAATTCAATGACAACTGACTTCCGACACAGAGGAAACACGCCATTATGTATATATCAAGGAAGAAGGAAATAAGCGAAGCACGCAAGATTTTCATCGTGGCATTATGAAAAATAAATAAATAAAAACGTATTAAAAAACGATGTTTGAATTGTGGTGTGTTGGTGTAATTTGAGCGTTGTGCGAGTTAAAGGAGATAGGCCGGCAAGGGCTGGAATCATATTTTCGTCAGTTCATAGAATTCCGTCAAGAGCATTCGACCTTATTACGCAATAGGTATATTGTTTCAGTCTTAAGTGCTAGAAATAAGCAAAAATGTTAATTTTTGCTGGCTCAACTCGCTTCGCTATTTTTGTCTTTTCAAGCAATTAATTCGAAACAAAATTATACGAAAAAATTGGTAATATTTTAAAACGCGCGTTTAGAATTGCATGTTGAAGGCAACAAATTACTATTGGAATTCAAGCATGCATGTATTTTCTTCATGCAAAAAAATATTTGAGCATTCTCAATCAAAAGGGAATTTTTCATGAAACCAAATTTGGCCTTCCACAACTTACCAATTTTATTTTTAATTTATTTTCATTGCAATAATTTTCATTGTTTGAACCCTTCTCCTACAATACAATAAAAGTTTTCGAAATGGTCTCAAATGTGGAATTACTATGGATACCATGACTCAATTTTTGGAAGAAAAGAATGATGGGAGAAATTGCCTTTGGGGAATTCTTAATTTCAATGAATACGGATGAGAAATCCATTGAAAAAAGTGCAAAAAATTGTTTTCCAATTGACTTTGCCAAATTTTTCTCGCATGCAAACCGCAAACCCCTATGAATAAAAACCGCGTCGCGCCGTTTCCTTCAAATTACCTCCGACATTTCGTGAATGCCTAAAATATGAATATTGAGCGAAGGAGGCTTAATTAAAATGAATAGTAGATGATGAAGAAAAAGGTTGTTTTGTGTTCCCAACGCTAGACGTCGCAATTATTCGCAATTTTCGAAGCCGACGTCATCGGTTGTAGAAGTGAAAGAAAACCCTAGGCATGTTTTACAATCTGACAATCATTAGCTGAAATTATGAATTGAGATTTGTGATGGAGAAGAAAGTTCGATTACATTATGTTATTAGAGAGCCCCATATCAATTCGGCGGACGAGGCTTATTTTTTGTATAAAACGCATTTTGAGTTAAACGATACCGTAATATTTATAAGAATAATGACATAGCTTTACTGCAATTAGTTTTTTGTGTAATTCTTTCTACAGACCATCCGACATAATTCGCAGTCAATTTGATTGGAATGATTTGGTTTTGCATATGAAATAGTGTGATAAAGGTTGGTTTGAAACAAATGCTTTTATGGTAATTCGAACACAAAATAAACAGTGTGGGGGGAATTAAGTGGATTAAATATATTTAAACTGAACAGAGACGAATAAATGAATGCCTAATTTTTTGAGACTCAAGTTCGAAATTCTATAGAACGTAGATCGAATTCATTTTTAGCGGCTCGGTGGAACGAAAAACATACAATTTAAGTGAAATTGTTGAACTCATTGGTGCTGGCCACTGCAATTAGTGAAGCACTAATTTCGAAAGGCGCATTTTTAAAATTCAAAAACCAATTTTCTTCTTTAAAGGCTTCTAAGAAGTTAATAAGTGCAATTGCATTCTGGAACCATTGCGGTTTGCTCAAGAAATATTTCTAAATGAGAGCCGTCTGTGGTCGCGGCAAAAAAAAATTCCTATGAATTTTGAGAAGCCGTTTTGAAAAATTGGCCAGTTTTGCAACGAACGAGAGTGAGAACAGAGTGCTTTTCAAGTAGTTTTGGAAAGAAAAAAAAACAACAACAACAAGATCGCAAAAGGGAAAACGAGAATAAGAAGCACATCAAAAAAGAAAAAAAGAAGACGATTGGAAAGTAAGGTTTCTGGCAGTTTGTTTTTTTTTCTCATCGATCCACGCAAGTTTCTCTATTGGCACGTGTGTTTCAATGTAGGCAGTCGGTGTCAGCGATGCCTCTACATAATATGCAAATTTCAATTCTTTTGGGAATACAGTTGGGCCAGTTGGTTCTAGTGGAGAAGCCATTTAGGAGGAAGTGGAAACAGAAAAAATGATTTGACGTCAGTTAATAATTTCGCAATTTAATGACGACAGTCGTCTTATCAATTTTCGCCGAAAATGTGCCGTTAGTGTGCTGTTCCTGCTGATAAAGAAGCAATTCCAGAATGTTTCAAAATGTTTGCAACCAATGCGGCACAATTGTTTTCGCATTTTCAAGTCGAATCGCGATCATTCTTCATTCAAACGGAAATCGTGATTTGTCTGAATTCTATTATTAGATGTTTTCTTGCTGATGGACCTCCTGCCGTTAAACCATCTCTAGACGTCACAGTGACGTAATGAAGATGATCTACATCATTTTACATTTATCGTTGCCCTTATCGTTATCAAACATTAAAAATATGAAAATTAAGAAATTATATTGAAGCTTTAAAAAATATCTAAAAACTATAATGAAGTTTGAATATGTAGAACAGAAGCGTGAAATTACTTGAATCATGGGTACATGAATCATTGTTAACTCCGCGAAATATTCATGAAAATTTTATAGATTGTAGAGAATTTAAATTTAATTTTTTAAAATAATTTTTTTGAATTGGCACAGGATGGTATACAATTTTTTCTATTTATATAAATTGAATAAAAATTTTTCTTTTGAATCTTGCTAGAGGGAAAATTTTTTTTGGTTGAACTAAACTTTCGATGTCGTATCCTCGTTTTGAGCATTGACATGAGGATTGTAAGCTGTTATATTCTCCATATATAGAAACATCATTTTTTATGGTCACGTTTAATTTGTTCTTTTCCAACTTTTTTTAATGATACGTAGAATGACCAGAAGTAAGACCACATTTAATATCCCATAAAAAATACCGAATTAATTAAAAACTCCACTATAACGTCTGTGCAAAATTTTTATAACTTCCGTCGTCAGCAACATAAAAAAGAGAACTTGGCCATGTTTTTATTTTCTCAATTTCGCCTCGAAATATATGTTAATTGACATAAGTATCAATGTTGAAGAAAATGGAGCAGAAAAAAAAGATGCGCAATTTTTTCTGCGTTAGGCATAGTAATTGAGGACAATGGCTTACAACAAAGAATTGTGCATCGCAATTCCATCGGGACCGAAAGACACAAAAAAATTTGCTTCCATTCTTTCAAAGTAATAATCACTTTTTGAAAAGTGGAGGAAATTGACCGGATAGAAAAAAAACGCAAAGTAAATTGAACTGGCCTCAAGCAAGCCAACCTGCCTTCAAGCCCGTTTGAAACAAAAGCGAACGAACAACAACAGAATGGGTTTTGTCACGCTGCTTCCACGCGAAAATAATTGGTTATGGCCAAAGTTCGTCGCTATTTGATGGATTCGTAGTAAAGGTTTGATGGAGCGTAGATATTCAATCAAAGAACGACATACAAGCATGCTTGCTTTATAAAAATAATTGATTAAAAAATGAGTTTGGTGTCGTTTTCGCGCTTCTAAATTTTCACGCCATTGTCAGGTCTCAACATTTTTCCCCGTGAAAATGGAAATTTCATGTGAACTATTTTTTTTGAATTTTCGGTCTGAGTGAATTTGGTGGATATATTTTTCTTAATCGTATACATCCAGTAATCCAAAAAAATTCTTTTGGTATAATTGTGCTACGTGAAAAATGTGAGCCTGTGCGAGAATTTGTTTTCGACTTCTTCTTTTGCTTCTTCGAAATTGAGGCGAATGAACAAAAAAAAATTCGACTCTCGAATCGGTCACATCTTATCTGATGCGGATACCCTACGAAGAATGAGCTGCACTTAATTCAAACTTTATTAGAATATATATATTCCTCCTAATCTAGTTGACGTGAAGTTCATTGTACACTAATCCTAATTTCCTTAACATAGAAAGTTTGAAAATCAAACAATTACTTAGTTTACCAAATGCCCAAAAATACTCGATATATTGTGTTAAGTGGGCGGAGCCTACCTAAAAAGTCCTCAAAAAAATAAGGAAATTAGCAAATCGATTTTTTTTAATAAGGAAATTAGCAAATCGATTTAATACGAAACGAATTTTCAAGGAGTAATTGCACGTAAAAATTGTGGTATTTTGTTATCAGTTGATTAACTTGCCGGAACGGAACCGGAAACGTGTCCGTCGAAATCAACACGCGTACATATTTAGATATATACATGAAAAAGTGCTAAAATGGGAGGACATGAAGTAAAAAGAAGGCACAAAAAAACGTGCCGTCAGCGTCATTCACGAG